TAATACACTGTTGCACCCGTACGTAAGGACACTCCGTATTTTCTCGTCATGTCAACACTACAGTTATTGTGAAATTGGAAATTCAAGATAAACACACTGTATTGCAATGAAATTTCCTGTAATATCTTGTCATGGTATTTGACACGAAACTCTAGAAACTTGACAGGAACCGCCGATGAATGAATGTAATATAATTTAAAGAAATTGCAGTATGAAGGACACTCCGTTTTTTCTCGTCATGCAACAATTTCTTACCGAAGAGGGCGCGCTACACAAACCCTGCTCATCGCGCTCCGACGTCTGGCCATTCGAGATGTAAGCACAGTTATTGTGAAAACGGGAACTCAAGATCAACACATTGTATAGCAATTAAATTCCTGTGATATTTTGCCATGGTATTTGACACGAAACCCTCGAAAATTTACAGGAACACAAACACAACTGACCCCGTGCCAACCAATATAATGCACGACGCCAGCTGGCAAGCATCCGGTGTGACAGGTAATTCTGTCCCCCTGGTAAATGTCCCCCAGAACACATTTACCGGCTCGTGACCCGGTAAATGTGTCCGGGGGGGGGGGGGGACACTTTTACCTAGGTAGATTTGTCCCCCTCCAGGTTAAATTGTCCCCCTGCCCAACGGTGAAAGTGTCCTCCTAGTAAATGTGTCCCTATGCAGTATATACTGAGAGCAGCAGCGTGTCGCGCGCGCCAGTACATGCTGCAAGATATGTGGCAGTGATTATCACATGTGTACATATGCGTCTCCCTCTACAATGGAAATTCATCCAATAGGAAATGTCGTTACGCGCTACGATGGCAACACAGACCAATCCAAGTAGGCGTTGTATCAATGAGACGAGGGCCATCGCCATGCATCGCCGCTGTATTGACCTATCGCGGTAGAATCGCGATAGATTTCACCGTACTCCAAATCGAAACGTTGTGTTCACATATCATCTATTAGACCAAATTAAATATTTATATATTCATGAAGGGCAGACTAAAAGTCCAAAATGTATACCTTGTAGAGTGAATTCATCAAAACAATAAAGAGAACTGGCCTTCCGGGTTTCAAAAGAGGGGGACAAAAAACCCTGGGGGACAGAATTACCTGGAGGGGGACAGAATTAACGGGCCGGGGAGGACACTTTTACCAAGGTAATTCTGTCCCCCCGGACAGTTTTACCGGGGGACAGAATTACCTTCCATCCCCCCTCCCCCTAAAAAAATCCTGGCTACGCCACTGAATACACGTTACATTAAAACGAATTTTAGTACACTCATTTGTCATGATCTTTGGCATCAAAAGATTTCATTTCAGAAAAAAACGTCAAATAATCAAGCCATTATGAAAGTAACAATACACGATTTTATTTGCAACAAATACAGTCCTAATGGAAGTCAACATGGATTTGTAACATTTAAAACACTAAATTGTTACGATCATATTGTAATTATAGCTCCACGGTTTCTCACGCCATTCAAACTACTTATGCTACACATCGTGAAAACTAATTGTACGAAATTTCAATTAAATCCATTTTGTATTTCTTGAGTAGTTCATCGGAAACGAGGTTGTTCTTTTTCTTCACTTGAGCAGCATCCGTATTGATGCGTTGTTGAGACCACTATTTATGTGGCGCGCCCTCTATTATAGTGGTCTCGATCTCCACCACCGAACCCGATTTGGGGCCAACAACTCAAGAAATACACGTTACACTAAAATGAATTTTCGTACACTTATTTGTCACGATGTTTGGCATCAAAGGATTTCATTTCATAAAAAAAACGTCAATTAATCAAGCTATTATGACCGTAACAAAACAGGATTTTATTTGCAACAAATACAATCCTAATGGAAGTCAACATGGATTTTTAACGTTTAAAACACTGGATTGTTACGATCATACTATACTTATAGCTGCACGGTTTCTCACGCCATTCAAACTACTCATGCTACACATCGTGAAAACTAATTGTACGAAATTTCAATTTAATCCATTTTGTATTTCTTGAGTAGTTCATCGGAAACGAGGTTGTTCTTTTTCTACACTTGAGCAGCATCCGTATTGATGCGTTGTTGAGACCACTATTTATGTGGCGCGCCCTCTATTATAGTGGTCTCCTATCTCCACCACCAAACCCGATTTGGGGCCAATAACTCAAGAAATACACGTTACATTAAAATGAATTTTCGTACACTCATTTGTCATGATGTTTGGCATCAAAGGATTTCATTTCATAAAAAATCGTCAGTTAATCAAGCTATTATGACAGTAACAATACAGGATATTATTTGCAACAAATACAATTCTAATGGAAGTCAACATGGATTTTTAACGTTTAAAACACTAGATTGTTACGATCATATTATATTTATTGCTCCACGGTTTCTCACGCCATTCAAACTACTCATGCTACACATCGTGAAAACTAATTGCACGAAATTTCAATTTAATCCATTTTGAATTTCTTGAGTAGTTCAACGGAAACGAGGTTGTTCTTTTTCTTCACTTGTGCAGCATCCGTATTGATGCGTTGTTGAGACCACTATTTATGTGGCGCGCCCTCTATTATAGTGGTCTCGATCTCCACCACCGAACCCGATTTGGGGCCAACAACTCAAGAAATACACGTTACACTAAAATGAATTTTCGTACACTCATTTGTCATGATGTTTGGCATCAAAGGATTTCATTTCATAAAAAAACGTCAATTAATCAAGCTATTATGACCGTAACAAAACAGGATTTTATTTGCAACAAATACAATCCTAATGGAAGTCAACATGGATTTTTAACGTTTAAAACACTAGATTGTTACGATCATATTATATTTATAGCTCCACGGTTTCTTACGCCATTCAAACCACTTATGCTACACATCGTGAAAACTAATTGCACGAAATTTCAATTTAATCCATTTTGTATTTCTTGAGTAGTTCATCGGAAACGAGGTTGTTCTTTTTGTTCAGTTGTGCAGTATCCGTGTTGATGCGCGTTGTTGAGACCACTATTTATGTGGCGCGCCCTCTCTATTGAACAAAACTTTAAATATTCGATGGCGTGCGGATGTATGTCTTAATTGGCGGTGTGGCAGGTAATTCTGTCCCCCCCCCCCCCCCCCCCCCTGTAAATTTGGTCCCCTGGACAAATTTACCGGTTTGTGACCTGGTAAATCTGTCCGGGGGGACACATTAACCTAGGTGGATCTGTCCCCCTGCCCAACGTTGAAAGTGTCCCCCTGGTAAATGTGTCCCCTTGCAAGTATCACCCATGCGATGATATGAGTCGTGTTCGTGAGCGCGCATCGCCGCAAGTACAAGATTAATTGTGGCAGCGTTTATCGCATATGTGTACATAAATGTGTATCCCGCTACACAAACGCACTACGATGGCAACGCAGACCAATCCAAGTAGGCGTTATATCAATGAGGCGTCCACCGTTGAGGGCTACGTACACCGTATACTCCGAATCGATCGAAACATTGTGTTCACATTTCACATCTAAGAAAGAGATCAAAAAGTTGAATTTTTTTTCATCTTCATGAAGGGCAGACTAAAGAGTAAAAAAATGTATACCTTGTAGAATGAATTCATGAAAACAATATAAAGAGCGCTGCAAAACTTGGGGGGACAAAAAAACCTGGAGGGGACAGATACCTGGAGAGGGACAGAATTAACGGGCCGGGGAGGACACTTTTACCTAGGTATCTGTCCCCCCGGACACTTTTAACGGGGGACAGAATTACCGTCACTGCGCACTGCGCACTGGCACTGCGCGTTCACTCGTACCCCCCCCCCCCCCCCCCGCCCTGCAACAGGGCGGGGGGTACGAGCGAAACACTGCGCACTGCTCCAACTGCGCATGCGGCTAAAACTCTATGATTAGGGAATGTGCATTAATGCTACACAGTTATTTGGGTTTTTTCCACCTAGCTGCGTAAAAGCCGGGTTTTTTTGGTTCTTCTCCATATTTGTTTTATTCTATCTCAGATCCCAAACATTGGTCATGACAGATATGACATATACACGGAATAATTGTTGTTATCTCTGTAAATATTATGTATGGCAGTACACATTTTGCTGGTATACAGCAATCTAAGGGTGCGTGAGACCCGAAAGTATATGATACACCCGGAGGCCAAATCGCGGCATTCCCCTAAAATTTCCCGATAAAAAAAGAAGGAAGGATGGAAGCTAAGCAAAGGACTGCAAGCTCGTATTTCTGTGAAATTTGGATGATATCAAACCCTAAAATGGCTCTATTTTGCTATGGAGCGATCGAATCATCCAAGTTTTTCTTTTTTTCATTTATATATTGATATTTACGTTGAATACTATTTAATTTTTGTGTAGACATTTCGAGCATGGGTTGGCAGGCCTTAGGGCTACAGTGTTTTAGTACACTTTTGTCTACCCTGGCCGGTTTGGAATGTTATATTGTTTTTGTTTTCTGTCCCTCTATCTCCTCGATATCTCCCCTGTCAAACTGTCCACCCTCCCTCCCCCCCCCCTCCCCTGACCCATTCCTACTCGCATTCTTCAGTCTTGTCTGGTCTTACTTTTCAATTTCCAATTTTTGTTTACTTTTTATTTGCATTGTCATTGTACTTTTGTTCATGCATTTGTTGGCCGAATAAATAATAATAATAATAATAATAAAGTTCAAAATGGCCGCTGTATGCATGACAAGGACTGCTAGGGGCGATCCGTCTTATATGGATGGAAGTTTCTCCCAAAAGATACGCCCCCCCCCCAAAAAAAAAAAAAAACCCGAAAAATGACAGATGATGAAACAAGGTTTGATTTGATGTGTGCCTCAAACGCCATGGAGAGTTGGGAGTATTTCTTCCTAGTCTTGAGAATTTTAGGTATTTTTCAATGACATATTTTTTGCTGTGAACATAATCTGCAACCGCGCAAGCATGCTGCTGGAGGAGCAAGACGCCCTCAAGTGACGGACCGTACGTACGTGTGTACGTACGTGTACGCGAATACATACACTATCGTAATCGTATACTGTACGTGTTCTCGCTTGGCCAAACTTCAAACATAGCGAGGCGGCTTTTGTCTTGCAAATTTCGCCTCAGTAGAGCCTGCCATGGGCCGCTATTCATCCCTAGTGGACCACAGTGCAGGACCCAGTGGGCCGGGTACAAGAAGTAGTAAAACTTCAGGGGTAATTTTCAACATGTCGCAAATCTCCGTCCGCTCGGTGCACCTGTTGCGATGGATGCTCATTCTCTGCCTCGCGGTAGCGCTGGTGTACTTCTGGTTCTGGCACCGATGGAATCTCCAACTCCAAGCCGGCCACTTAAAGGTAAAAAAACACGACGCACAGAGAGGATTTGATGAGATTTGCATAGCCCTAGGCTACGGTTGGTTTCCCTCAAAGCTTCATTTGTGTACCGTGATTACTCGAGTTTACGAGCGAGATTTATTTTGGAAGTTTATCAGTGGAGGGAAGGCTTAAGTTACGACTTACGTAACAGGATTTGCCGAACTTTGAACTTTGCTTTATGATCGCCTGATGAATAGTGCAATATATAACATGATATAGTGATAAATATCTATTTGTCATGGCGGGTTCTGGAATGATGGTAGGTTTTTCATCGGTTATTTTTTAGTCTTACTTAATTTTCATGTTAATAAGTATTAATTATTAAAAATGATGAATTTCATGGGCTGTTGCACATTCAGAACAAAATAGAGCTTGCAACTTGCAAGTTGACCTTAAAAAATGCAAATTTTTATGAGAATACAGCACATCTGGGCACTAGCTCAGTTTGGCATGTTTGGACGAAGTCTTCATTGCATTACGACTGACGTCCAGGATGACAATTCTCTACATAAAACCACCAAAAATTTGGACCAGAGTTTTGTTATGTTTTACCTCGTTATAGAAGCTTATTTCACGCCTGCATACTCTATACATACTCTATGTGTGCATACTCTATGTGTCCTTATCTATCATGTCTATTGGTCCGGGGGGTTCAGGAATTCCATATGTGATGCTGTCCGACGTTAAAAAAAGAAAATAAACTCTAAAGCAACGTTAAACTTGTACGTGTTTGTAGACTCTTTTCGTCAGTTTCTCATCACCGTACCGCGTCGTACGACAGTGCACACGCCAGCACCCTCCTCGGTTGGTTTTGGTGGGAACGTGCAGTGACGTCACTCCAGCCAACCGAAGTCATGAAAACACTCCACCAATGACCAAAGCCGAAACATGTTCCTGGTCACGGTCGCTACAACACGCCCGGTCATTGGATAGGCGACCGGGCTTACAAGTCACCGGTAGTGCGCGTGCGTTTGAGGGTGGTTACTTAGTCTGGTTCCATTTAGACATGAGCGTCGGTAATAATTGTCAGGCCTGGGAACCAGACTAGTGGTTACTAAGCAAATCGCGCATGCGCACTGCGCGTTCACGATGCACGGACGTACGTCATGCATGTACGACTAGACTCGGCGCGGTGAGAAACTGATGAAAAGAGTCTACAACAACGTACAAGTTTAACGTTGCTTTAGACTGAGTTTATTTTCCTGATTAAGGTCGGTCAGCATTGCATAATTCCTGAACCCAGCGGCCCAATAGATAAGGACATAGAATACTACGACGACACAACGTAAAAATTGGCTTCTCTAACAAGGTAAAAATATTGAAAATATTGGTCATAAATTTGACATTCACATAATAAAATGTGAACGTGGAAAGGGGGGGGGGGGGAGGGTTGCACGGAGACATTATTTGCTAGGAATAAGCTAGATTTGCATTTAAAAAAATGTCACCCATTAATGCTTTGTCATAACTTTGTTCCCCTTTTCAGGTTCCATCTTTGAGAAATGTCGGGCCGGAGTTTGTCCTGGGTCCGGAAGACAAGAAACTTCGGATCCTCTCCGGCAGTTTCCACTACTTCAGGGTTGTGCCGGAATATTGGGAAGATCGTCTGATAAAGATGAAAGCATGTGGCCTCAACACGATAACAACGTATGTGATCTGAACTTATGCTAATCCCAACCTTCCCAAATCCTACAAACTCCTCCTTGCAAAATGGAGGGTTTTGCAGGATTGAGGCTACATGTTCATGGCAAAAAATGTGTGGCTGATTTTGAAGGATGCACTGTGTCAATGCCTTGGGCTTGACCTTGTGATATGAAATCCCTTATTCAGCGGGTTGCAGATGCCAAAACTCGGAGTAAAATAGTTTTTCCACTTAAACAACATTCAAAATTTGAAAATTTGTTAGGACAAGAGGCCACTTTTTAAACAGTGCACGAGATAGCAACTTCAATATTTAAGGCAAAATCAAAAACAACAAACATGTTTAGCGTCCTGCCTTTTTGAAAAAAAAAGGAAGCGGGAGGCCCTTTGTTTTTGTCCTCCAAAATGGCCGCCCAACCGGGCTATTTTTCAAGATTTTTCAAGATTTTTTTTTTGAATGGCCGCCATTGGACTCAGGATTGGCTAAATACAACAGACAAAGAGACCAAAATGATGTCATTGTTTTTATCATTTTTGGGGTTAAAAGCAAGCGGGCAGGAACGCTAAACATGTTCCTTGTTTTTATTTGGCCTAACGGAGCCTACACAGGCCATATCATGTATCAATACCATTGTGGGGGTACAAACAGCCATGAATTCATGCATTTGTTATATTTTGAGTCAAACGTTTGATTTTTTACACCTGTGGGCAAATATTTGAAGGTTTTTTATCGATATTTATCGTGTTGTAGCCATTTGATTTTTTTCCCATGCATTCAAATTAATGTAATCAAACCGAGGCTGGAAAGAAAAATAGTCGGTTCCTTTTTGCCTAAAAAAAAACATCATTCAAGACTGTAATTGGATACAGGGAACATGACTGAAATGGTGACAACATGATAACAGCCTATTGCCTTCTTTTGCATGCCTGTCGGGCTTGGGCGAATCCACACCAGAATCGAATAGAATCGACTCCAAATTTGGAATCGGAATCACGATTCCACTTTTATGAGGAATCGATTCTCTGATGTAGCCGATTCCAGTTCCCCGAGCGTCGATTCCAGTCTACGCTCAACAATTTTGTTGGGTTTTTCTGATTTTTGTTAGTTTGTTTGTCTTTTTAATTTTTTTTTTTTTTTTTTTTGCAAAAATTATGGAATCGATCCCGAATGGAATCGTGATTCCAAGACGGAATTGGAATCGATTCTAAAAGTGCTGGATTCGCCCAAGCCTAATGCCTATCTGACTGATTGACAGCTTACTGACTAACTGACTCCCCAACTGACTGATGGCTTACTGACTATCACTTGTGATCCTGGCAGTGCTATCCTATAGTGAATCTATCCTATAGTGAATCTCTGGTCTTGTTTTTGTTGTCTTTATCAAATATGAATGCAGTTTCTCCACAATTTGTCAGTTCTCTAGAATCCATCCATTAAAAGTGAAGTGTGTGCTATAATCCATCCATTACAGGTATGTGCCATGGAATTTGCATGAGCAGGTCAGAGGTGACTTTGACTTCAGCGGCATACTGGATATTGTGTGAGTGTATTTCATTGGAAATTTATAACATTAGTGCAGTTAAAGGTAAAGGGGACGAACCTGTGTTCACAGGAACGGAGTGCCCATCTCTCTTTCATTAGCGACTGGGCCAGACTCATATGCTGCTGTGGGGGGATCGCCACACCTCCTCCACAGCGAGTCTGTTACCTTCCCAGCATTGAATAATACCACCCATTTAACACCTACGCTGAGAGGAGTAATTGAGGTAAAGCGCCTTACTCAAGGGCACAACAAACATGGCCACGACAGGGTTCGAACCCACAACATGTTCAGAGGCATGTGCTCTACCGCTAGACCACACTTGCCCGCACAACATATTAGTGCAGTACTTCATGAAGCAGCCTTTGTGTTAGTCTAGCAGCTAGAAAAGTTGCTATGAGTATGAGTCAAATCCATTCTTGGGAATTTAGGCAGCGCTACCCATGAAATGCATTTTAGCATACCTATGCAGGTGCATTAGCCAGCTTGATTGCATACAGCTTGTAATTTTCAAAACACTGTCGATTTGGCTTGGCTTTATTATTTTCCAAGACTGGATAATTTATTCACCTCATGCTCTGGTCCCTTATATGGCTGCAGCAGGAGAAGTTGCTATCTAAGATGAGTCAAACCCGTTCTTGGGAATTTTGGCAGCGCTACCCATGAAATGATTTTTATCAAACCTATGCAGGCGTATTAGCTTCGAAACACTGTAGATTTGACTTGGCTTTATTATTTTCTTGATTTGAACTATTAATAACATGTTGCAGTAATTAACTTTGTTGTTTGTCTTTTGTGCATGTTCCAGGGCCTTTTTGAACCTTGCCAAGAAGGTGGGGCTGTACGTTATCCTGAGGCCGGGGCCATACATCTGTTCAGAGTGGGATCTTGGCGGCTTGCCAAGGTAATATGAAGTGATTGCAGTTGTTAATTTTTAAACTCATCAGTGACAATGGTCTATACAATATAGTCGAGGGGCAAAACAGAAAATTAACCCTAACCCACCTCACTCCTCCAAAATCCTCCTGGCGGTTTTGGAGGATTCTAGAGGATTGAGGATGAATGGTGATTGAATCAAATGAGGATTCTGGAGGATTGAGGATGAATGGTGATTGAAGCACATGAGGATTTTGGAGGATTGAGGATGAATGGTGATTGAATCAAATGAGGATTCTTGAGGATTGAGGATGAATGGTGATTGAAGCACATGAGGATTTTGGAAAATTGAGGATGAATGGTGAATGAAGCACAAGAGGATTTTGGAGGATTGAGGATGAATGCATTTTGAGGCAGGACTGTCTGATGATTTTGAAGGATTTGGCGTTGGTTATCCTTCATTTAAACACGAGTGCAAAGTTTTGGGATGAGGAGGATTTTGGAGGATTGAGGATGAATACATTTTGAGGCAGGACTGTCTGACAATTTTGAAAAATTTAGGCGGAGTTGAAAAATTTTGGAGGATTTTGGAGGATTGAGGATGGTTGTAAGGAACAAGGACCTAGGGGGTTAGGGTTAAAAATTAAATTAATCAAAACTTTGTTCTTTATTTTGTCCACTCTATAGTTGGCTGTTGAGTTATGACGAAATGAAACTGCGCACCATGTACCCATTGTACATCGATGCAGTAGACAAATACTTTGACCAGCTAATACCACTGGTGGAAGGACTGCAGGCAAGTGTGAATCTGCTAATCTCAAACAACCCGGGCATCTTTGTAAACATCGGCAATCGTGGACCCCCATTGTCCCTAATCCTGACTCCTTGTTTGTACTCTGAACTTTTTAGCAACAGCTTTCATTGGTTTTGTACGCGAATTTCAACTGTGGACTATCGGTCAAGCATGGACGTATTGTTTGTGCCCTAACCCTTTTGTCCTAGGTCCACGATTGCCGGTGGTTACATACTCATCCCTAGCCCCATTAATGTGGCCTATTTACTGGACTGCCGTAAACATAGGCCACACATCCACATGTACAAAAACGTGTCGCACTTTGCCAAACTTTGATTTTCGCATTTAGGCTTAGTTTGTAGGTTTTTTTTGCTTTAGAAGCATACTCACCCGCTTTATAGGCTAATCAGAAAGTGCTGCCTTTTTCAGATGTATATTTTTCGTGAAATTTCCAGATTCATTTTTACACGTTTGCGTATCAAAATTTCAACATGAAATTTCACAAAAATTAGACATCTGAAAAAGGCAGCACTTTCTGACTAGCCTATAAAGAGGGTGAGTATGCTTCTAAAGCAAAAAAATCCTACAAACTAAGCCTAAATGTGAAAATCAAAATTTGACAAAGTGCGACACGTTTTGTACATGTGGATGTGTGGCCTATGTTTACGGAGGCAGTCCAGTAAATAGGCCACATTTATGGGGCTAACTCATCCCCTACCTACCCCAACTTTACCCAACACATATCCCTGCCTCACCTCTGACCTCAGCCCCACCCAAAACCACACCCACACCCAACTCACGCCCAACTAATATATTTGCTGGTCTCAGAGGGCCAGCCTGGTTTTCTCCATACCAGTCTCACTGACTGACTGTCACTCATGAGCCGGGCAGTGCTATCGTATAGGATTACCCTATATATGACTTGAAGCTTTGCATTGCGGACGAGATAAATTACCATGTTTGCGGGTAACACCATGTGGAAAGAAATCTCTTCTTGGCAGAAGTGTGGTTCTGAAAAGAACCGGTTGGTTGAGTGTAGAACTCGACGTTTCGGACAGTGTGCTCTGTCCGTCCTCAGGAGGGTGAGTTCGTCCTCGACCTCAAGAAAACGGACACTGTCCGAAACGTCGAGTTCTACACTCAACCGACCGGTTAGTTTCAGAACCACACTTCTTTCAAGAAGAGATTTCTTTCCACATGGTGTTACTCGCAAACATTATAATTTAGGATTACTCAGATATGCCGATGAGTACTGTAGGTTAAAGAGGTTGTGGAATGCTCGAAGACATTTCCGTCATTTTTCGGGTATATGTAGCCTAAGGTGTGATGAAATAAAAACGACTATTGTTTCTGTCATGAAATGAGTACAAAGGGTACTTTTGAGAGCTATTTTTCAGGTCCTGTTTCGACCCGAACGTGCAATTTGTGTAAAAGTCGTCGTTGTGGGCAGCAAACAAAACACAGTAAATCGTGATGTAATAAACAGGACTCGTTAATGCTACTCTGCATTGGGAATCCTGTTTATTACGTCACGATTTATTGTGTTTTGTTTGCTGCCCGCAACGACGACTTTTACACAAATTGCACGTTCGGGTCGAAACAGGCATGACAGGACTTGAAAAACAGCTCTCAAAAGTACCTTTGTACTCATTTTATGACAGAAACAATAGTCGGTTTTATTTCATCACACCTTAGGCTACATATACCCGAAACATGACGGAAATGTCTTCGAGCATTCCACAACCTCTTTAACTTTGAATTTTCTATGACCTCTCTTCTTGATGCACAAGGCCCATTGATCTAATTTTAACAAATCGTTTGATTTTTCTGCATTTTTTTCCTCCATTTTGCAGTACTATCGTGGAGGGCCTATCATTGCATTTCAAGTGGAAAATGAATACGGTTCCTATGGCAGTGATCGGGAATACATGACTTACATCAAAGAGGTGAGCATCTAACTGTCATTACCTCTATAAGGCCAAATGGACCTCTCTGGTCAGACCAAAGTTCCGGAATTGACGCGGTGACGCGGCTCTTTTTTTTCCTTTTTGGCTTTTTTTTTTTTTTCTTCAAGCTTGGATTGTACAGACAATGTGGGGTACTATTTTGCTACTTGGTGTCCTAATGTACATTGGTGTCCTCCATAATTTGCCTTGGTGCTCTCGATCATTTGCCTTGGTGCAATTTCCCATTCCTTGCTGCTCTTTGGTAAAAAATAATTGAGGAGGTGCAGCAATAGAGGGCGCTGTTGGAGCTACCGCAGAACATTTTGGAAAAAAAAAAGATTGACGCGCATGATTAAAATCAACGCGCGCGCTAACCAGAGACCGACTTATTTTTTTTTTGGCCTTATGGTAATATATTTCCAACAACATGGACTATTGCTTACCCATCCCAAATGCTATAGTATTCAATTGAGCCTTTGATTCATTAGACAAAAATTTCTTTCGGATATTCCAAAGAAGAATGTTCACAACATTAGTCAACTCAGTGGATAGTATAACACCTTGCAAGAAAAAAAAAACTTGCCCAACCCTTTCATCCGAAACACAATTTTGTACATATCACTCTGTTTCCAAAAATCAGTCGATTGCATGTATAACTGATCGTTGGAAATCACTTACATTTCTTGATTTCTCCTAAATTATATGACAGCAACCCAGACAGAAAAATTTCACAGGGTGTTTTGAACCACTAAGATCTTCAATCCAAGAAAGCTTTTTGATTGCTGTAGGTTCTTTTGGGGATAAATGTGTGCAAATGATTCTACATGTACAACACATGCCTTTAACTCTTTCAGTGCCAAACTCGTACATGTACGAGGTATATTTGTTAGTACAAAAGCGCCAACCTCGTACATGTACGAGGTAATGTTCGTACTTAAAATTGCCAAACCTCGTACATGTACGAGATAGAGTAAATATGTTATCAAAAGGGGGCGCTCTCGCTCTTTCTAATGGTACCATTTTCATGCATGTACATGTACGACCTGTATTTATTTTTTCATTCGAGTTCTTGCGAGAGGGCGCAACACTAAATCTCGTTTTTTCTGCAAAAGTGCGGAATTCCCCTGTGTTCAAGCCAGTGTTTCAGGGTGTATCACTATGTTTGTGACTACTTTTGGCTTTCCAATATATCAAGGATATACCAGAGAGCAACAACAACAAATTTAGTGAGTAAAACTTATTTACTTTTTTTTTTACAGAATTTCAAACAGTTAACAAAAACGCTCGAAGTTGGGCACTTTAGGGTTAAACTTTTCAAATTTCGCGGGCACTGAAAGAGTTAATGATACATGTATGTTCATAGCCTATTGCCGGTGTAGTCACTTGGGGGTTACTTGCTGCACATGCGCAGTGTGAGACATCCACTAGTCTGCGCATGTTGGAGACATTTTACCAACATATTCTGGCGCTATGGTGGCATAAAATGTCCAAAATTTCAATTATGTGAGTTTTCCCAAAGTTATACCCCGAAAAGATATACTCAAAATAACTTTCCAATTAAACTCACCATATAATCAACTGGGCTACATTTCTTTGAAAGGAATATTTGTTGCTTTCTTTTTGCCATGAAAATCGACCGTGAATTATACTGATAAAGAGCAAATCAATAATTGTGAATAAAAAAAAAATTAGCTCCCTATTCATCACCTGGAAGGTAACATTGACATTGCTGGCTTCACTTTCATAGGTCTCCCTTATTCCTAAAAACTCAGATTTTTAAGGAAAACAAAATAAACATCTTTATCAACGAGAATCACTGCTTGCGAAAAGACTACTACATGTACATCATTTGAATACGGCGCATCAATATACCTATTGAAACAAAAATTAGAGTAAGAAAAGACTGATTATGTCATACCGCGTTTAAGCCTTATTCATAAATACCTCAGACAGTTTAGCCATTCCTATTGGTCGAGAGCCCGTCACGTGGCCGGTCTTAAACGGATGAAAAAAAAAATGGCTAGCTGGTCTTAAACACTTTTCCAGTGTCACATAAAATGTAGACTCCTAAAAATCCAGTGCCTCTTACCGTTTTATTGGTTGAACGTTCACAGTCCTCACGTAGGCATGCGCAACACTACCAGGGAGTCAGAATTTTATAGTTCTAAATTCAAAACGCAACGCCCCAGTTGCGTGATCTGTGCGACATCGCACAGAATGTGTCAATCTCCATAAAAGGGTTGTTTACCTGTACCTAAATCGCCAGCTGAACACTCCATTATTTAGTTAGAGGGATGTTTCAAAAAGCATGAAGTGAACTTGTTGAACAAAATCGGGATTTTTTGACCGAAATATTATATTTTTTTGACCAAAAAGGTATTCGTGCATGGGAATAAATATGTGCTTGGTCGGTATTAATCACTCTGTTTAAGACCGCTTAGAGTCTGGGTGCTGATAATTACCCGAGCCGGAGGCGAGGGTTTTTATCAGCACCCAGACTCTAAGGCCAAAAAAAAAAAGTCTCCGGTTTCTGGTATGCGCGCGCGTCGCCGTAGCCATGCGCGTCGGCAAAATGAAAAAAAAAAATTTTCAATGAAAGATGATGTCTCAAAACCGCCAAACTCACTGGTTTGACTGGAATCCTGCTGCTGCACAATTTTAACGTGTTTTTAGATTGGGTTATGGACGAGAATAAGCTTTATGTGGCCTCTCTGGACTCCCATATATTTGCACTAAGTTTAGTCGGACACCATTTGCAGTCATCAGCCGACATTTGAAGCCAAAAAATCAGGTAAAAAAACAAAAAGCCGCGTCGCCGCACCACTTTTTGGGCATGCTCCATAGGTACCGGTACCAGAAACCGGAGACTTTTTTTTTTTGGCCTAAGCGGTCTTAAACAGAGTGATTAAAACCTCTCGAGCACACATTTATTCCCTTAATCAGGACCAAAGGCTGATGGTGTCGAGTGGGAAACCTGGGCACAACAGACAAACTAAGTGGAAGGCGCGAACATACGTGGATAACACATTGCATATTAAGCGTGCATGCACACACATACAGTGGAAAAGTTCAAGATGCACCCACAACATTTCCATCCATGCATTGATCATGCTGTGCTACCGTATACTATGTACATGTACATGTATGCACTGTTTGGCTAATGAGCAGTAACAGTGGTCATGATTCGATGATTTTACTGAATTCCCTGGGTTGCAGTTATTGTATGTGGTGAGTGCATGAGTCGCTCTTCATGAATATCAATAATTACATTGTGCATTTTAAAGTACATACATGTACGAGTCAACAATTGTGGTCTGGTGGCTGGGCAACACACCTGTTGTGCTTTCAGTGGGAAACTGTTGCCTGGGGGAAGACTTTCAGGAAACCTGTGTTGACATACAAGTCTGCTCAGTCCAAAATGGGTTTAGAACACAATAATGCATATTGGATTCCTAGTGTTTCCTAATGTAGCATCATTTGCAATTATCCCAAAACGGTGGTTCTTCAGAAATTTTAACTATTAAAATTAATATTTGGGGAAAAAAGTGGGTTTTTTTGTGATGTAATACAAAGGATCACTGTTCACTAAAGTGTTGCTAGTACATGTAAAAGACTGAAATTTATTTTAAAGGGAAAATACAACATTTGCAAACATCAAAAAATAAAACTACCAAATCATTTTGAAATACCTTGCTGGACTGTTAGTGAAGGACAGTGTAAAGCATCCTGTAAAATCATGGCACCTGGTATACTGTCATTTTCAAGAAAAGTGTTATTTTTGTATCAATTTCCAACGCTGGTCGGCCGATCAGCGTTGGAAAAAACTGGCATTTTTTCAAATACTGGCCCCAATTGACCATCGCACTTGTTTGCAATCGATTACACACCTATGAACGGGTACAAGCCAGCTAGACTGGTTCCCTGACCTTACAATTCCCCAATGTATGTAAACTGCTCTGTTTCTTCTTATATGGAGTCAGGGAACCAGACTTCAGGAAAATGATTGTTTTTCTTGGTTTTTACATGTATAGCATTTTCGAACCCAAAACCTCAAAAAAATCAGTGTAACTATATTTGCTATATATTTTCAACCTCCCAATTCCATCCATTTCTGAAAATTACAGCAAAAGCAAATGATGCATATTCCCTTTAAAGATGTTTCATAAATCGTCCTTTCTGTACAAACTCTGGATCAATTCAAATGCCTTCTTAAAACCCATTTGTTCAATTTTGAGTAATTATTGTTCTATTTATTACTCTGTTCAGCGCATTGGGACTCCGTGCGTAATGCGCTTAATAAGAAGGGTTTATTATAATTCTAATTATTATTATTATAAATTATCAAACATTTAATTACACAATGTCACACATGTGACCGATCAACATGTCACCACAGAACAAAAGAAAGTAAAACTAGGGTGTACATTGTTTTAATCACAAAAGACTTTAGTCTTACTCAAAAATAAGTATGTGTGTGTCCTTAGTTTTGGAGAAAAGTCAAATCCCTCCATTTTAGAACTTGCACTTTTTGAAAAATTTCACTCAACATGCTCAAAGATTAAAAAAGTATTACAAACCAAATTGGCTTTGGATTAAATTTGTTTTCCCCTCTCTGGTTAAAGACCATGGATTAAAAAAAACCCTGTTTCTCCCTCTCTGTATCAAGGCCATGGAGAAGCGAAATATAAAAGAGATGTTTCTGACATCGGATAACAGTCGGTCTGCAATGGAGAAAGGCCATCTGCCAGGAGGTACAGTAACTTGCATACTTGTATCCCTGACTTCTTCATAAGTTAACCCTATCAATGCATTGTAAAGGCACCATGCTTCAAGTGCGCCCTCTGTGGCGGAAATGTGACACATTGCTGCCAGTGAAGGACAGTTCCCTGGTATACAATAGTCCTGTAGTGTAGAATGTCATGATATTGCGTAGGAACCGGTGAGATGACTGCGCTTACATCTAGACTGGTTCCTGCAGCCTTCTTGAATTCTATAATATAATCTGAAGCATGGAAACCAGACTGTGCTTGGTTCTCATTGGTAGGCTATAAGTCGCGCGGAGTATAAGCCGCAGCCCGCAAAAATCTGCAAATTAAGATTTGAAGTCGGCGTATAAGCCGCACCGGCTTATAAGCCGCACCGACCGCAGCGGTTTCAATTTTGTAAGGCCTCCAAATTCTAGTCAAAATGCTCTGAACCAGTTCCATTTACACTATGAAAGCTAGAGAAAGGGCCACAAAGTTATATCAAATCATTTACAGTCGATTCTCTTACAAACAAATATGGAAATTGCCGATGAGAAATTAAAAAAACCCAGAAATTGCTGCCGGCTGGCCCATCTGGTCCCCAGCCTCGCATGGCCCGGTAGCCTGCGCCGGCGAATAATAACATTTTCCCCCAGCACTTGAGAGAGTATGCTGCCCACCATGTTGATCTCTACATACTAACAAAAGATATGGAAAGGGAAGTTCCTTATTATTGTTCTTCAAATGTCTGCTATTGCTTTTTGTTTTAGTTTTGTTGACGGCAAACTTCCAAGTCGATCCAGAGAGACATTTTCAAGATGTAAAAGAGATTCAGGTATGGAACCCTTTAGTAACCACTTTTTTTTCCCCTCTTGAGTGTTACTTGCAGCTTGAGCAATATAAAAACCCCTTAGTTATTGCATAAATTTCAGTGTTGGCCAAACGAGCCCTAACTCCCTGGGCATTTTTGCTACCGTAGGATGCAACCTCAATCCTGCAAAATCCTCCAACAGCATCCATGTAAAAATTGCCTACAGCCTCAATCCTGCAAAATCCTTTGTTGTTTCTTAAATGTGGTCCTTGGAGGGGCGACCACTGCCTCAATCCTGCAAAATTCTCCTTTGTTTCTTGAACGTGGTCCTTGGAGGGGCGACCACTGCCTCATCCCTGCAAAATTCTCCTTTGTTTCTTGAACGTGGTCCTTGGAGGGGCGACCACTGCCTCAATCCTGCCAAATCCTCCAGCAATCACTGTCAATATGTTGAGGCAGTACCAGTGACATCCTGGAGCAGTGCGGAGGATTTCAAGTATAATCTAGACCTACATTTATGCACGGCTGAGCAGAAACAACACAACCTTGACACTGTGCATCCTCCAAAATCAGCTACACATTTTTGTAATATAGCCTCAATCCTACAAAATCCTCAATTTTTGCAAAGAGGATTTGGAAAGATTATACGGAAGGGTTAAACATTGCTGATTATGAGTACTCCGTGGTGCTTAAATGTACTGTGTTCTGTTCTGATCTTCTGGATAGTTGTAAATAAATAGGTTCCTTCTTTTAAATATTGCTCACCCCTTTTTCGAGTTTCATCCACAAAAATTAATTGTTATTCACTTTTGAGTGATGGAGCCGTCGAACAAGAAAAAGTCCACCAAGTTATGGAATAATTATTTGACACGTTCCAATTTGTTTGCAGCCGACAAGAATGGAGGCATAAATGTATCTTTTTGTGCATTATGGATGCAAATTAAAAGCAACTCAAAATGAAATCATATTTTCACAAATAGAGAAATGAACCACTGAAATCAGGGTTCGCCCTAAACTTTTTTTTTTACTAGCCAGCCGGACTATTGCAACAGACTCTTTTCTTGTCCACGGGCCTTTTCACTAGTCGGCAATAGAATTTTTAAATATTTGCACCAGAATGTCACAAACAGCAAGTTTCTTTTTTTAGGTTTTTGCTCTTCACCGATGTATAAACACTGTATACTGAGTGTTACCTCCAGAGTAAAAGTTGCATGAAAAAAATCACTCGGATGGGACTCCAACCCACGACCTCCTGCTTCTAGTGCAGATGTTTTACCACTCGACCACCGAACTTGCGGGATCAGTTGGCTGGTTCGACACATTGGTGAAGGGCAAAAACCTAATATTGATATATATCACCCCGACGCAAAATTCCATCTTATAAGGTTTAATTTCGGTACCCGCTGAGCATGTACATCAGATTCAAACCAGCTAACCAATCCTGCAAGCTTGGTGGTCAAGTGGTAAGAAGCTTGCACTGGAAAGCAGGAGGACGTGGGATCGAGTGATGTTTTCCAAACTTTCATTCGGGCGGACTACTTAAGGAATGGTTTTGACTAGTCTGCAGCTGTTTTAACTCGCATTTGGCAAACGGACTCCCGCTTATTTTGAACCCTGTTAAAATGCCTTCCTATTTTTTAAAACTCTTCTAAGGGGGGCATCCAAACGCCAATGGAAGAACCCAATTTTTTTTAAATTTATTTTTTACTTTTTTTAAAAACAATTTCAGGGAACGGACAAACCACTGATGGTGATGGAGTTTTGGCCTGGATGGTTTGATCACTGGGGAGAGAAACATCACATCTTCAGTGCGGACGGTAAGAAAATGATGTTTTCTTCACATAAACAAGGATTTTCCATGATAGTTCTTTCGCCATCTTAACAAGTCATTATTTTGTGAGGCCATGTGCAAAAAATGAAATGGAACTAGGCACAGGCCGTATAGTGCAGAAACAAACAAAACAAAACAAACAAACCAAAAAAAATAAAATGGATGTTGTATTTTTCCAATTTTAGAATTGATTGATATTTGTAATCTTTCAGTATGTCTACTACACATATTTGAAAGAAATAATATAAAAATCGTGGATTAAAAGTGTTTTTAAGGAAAAACAATTGCCACCTTTATTTTCATGACTATAAAGTATTTTACCTTTTTGGCATGTCAATCATGTGAAATACTGTATAAACAGCCATAACTTGTCAACAGAATGTCTGATTGAAGTACAGCGAACAGGAGAATTTTTCTCTTCCCTATATTAAGGCCACAAACCCTCATTTCGACCTCTGCCCAGTTCTGTCTCATTTTGCCAGAACGCCTCACATATTCAAGCTATAGTCCATCATTTGTAATTTGTGCATTTTGTTCGTTTGAAGCAACAAAAGAGTTCAAAATCTAATGAAGGATACTGAGCAACTAACCTGATGAAGTTTCAGCTAAGCTTCAGCTGTACATTCCGAGAAAAACAGCATTCTAAGATCTCAATTTCAAATCAAAAGTTACTGAATCATGTTTTGAATTGTTTTGAATTGCAGCTATACGCGGCGTCGCGCACTGATCCGACGAATTATACCAACCGCGCGGGCGTGTGCGTCGTTCCAATACTTGTGCGCGCTGCGCTGAATAACAAAACGAACTACTAATTTGAATTTTCCTACGGTGCTTCTTAAGAATCACCATTGGAAACGCCTTCTTTCGTTGATAACTTCAAAATGACAGCTTCCCAGAAAGAAAAATTTCACAGGGAGTTTATTCCCTTACTATCTTTCAACCAATTTTGTTTTTCAACAATAATTATGCCAGCTACTTTTCAGATGTCTGCAAATGATGGACTATAGCTTTAAGGCCACAAACCCTCATATCAACCTCTGCCCAGTTCTGTCTTATTTTGCCAGAATGCTTCACATATTAGAGCTAATTACTAGTGTTCCTTCCTGATCTTAATGGCATTTTTTATGTTCTTTGTCATGCCTGACTTCATCGAGCTGGTATTGACTGCTTTGTGCGATATAGTAAAGCTATCCTCCTGATGAGGTGATCTGTTGAGCCTTATGCACGTCATCACAAGTCATTATTGGAGTCAATTACAAGCATGACAAGTCTTCAGTCCTGATGTGAAATTTAAAAGGAAAACAAGCTCATACATGTACATGTAGTGGACTGTATGCTTTGAAATTTCAACTGCAATATTCCATTCTAATTCATAATTATTCAATGAATTTTCTGTTTACAACTTAACACACATTGCCTCTGTATTATAATCTCGTTTATGTAATGTTTATGGCATAAAACTGGCTAAGAAAAGGACTCTTCTTATTTTGCGATGACTACTGGACACGTCGTAACTTGCAACGTGTTTTAAGCCGTTGTCAAGGAACTTACAACTCATCGCATGTTTCGTGAAATGGATTATACGACGCGTTGCGAGTTGCGACGTGTTACACGTCGTAACTCGAGTTGCGACGCGTCGCAGCGCTTCGTGAAATCGGGTGCAGTTGAACACACCAATATCTTTATTGACTAAACTCTTACCCCTGACCTTTGACCCTGCATGTCTCCGCCCATGTGTTTACCCCCAGGCATTGGTGGTCTTGTCAAGAGTATTTTGGACCTAGACGCCTCCATCAACTTTTACATGTTTCACGGCGGCACAAACTTTGGGTTCATGAACGGTGCCAACTACGACGCACGTGAGAAACACCAGTACCAGCCAGACATTACAAGTTATGGTAGGTTATAACAAGTTACGGTAGGTGATTACAAGTTATGGTAGGTTATAATAAGTTATGGTAGGTTTTTACAAGTTATGGTAGGTTATTACAAGTTATAGTACGTTATTACAAGTTATGATAGGTTATTACAAGTTATGGTAGGTTATTACAAGTTATGGTAGGTTATTACAAGTTATGGTAGGTTATTACAAGTTATGGTAGGTTATTACAAGTTATGGTAGGTTATTACAAGTTATGGTAGGCATATTACAAGTTAAAGTAGATTATTACAAGTTATGGTAGGTTATAACAAGTTATGGTAGGTTATTACAAGTTATGGTAGGTTATTATTGTGTGCATAATCACCATGTATCCTAAAGGCGGCAACCCGACCTACACGTGCCTGGATTTTATAAGCCAAATTGCCGAGCTGAAACTTTTTAATGCCACATTTGGCCAACAATTTATATTGTACTTTTTGGAAATAAAATGTCTTCCCCATTCAAGTTTTCTGTGTGCTATCAATGGTTAATTGACTTATTGCTGTTTGCAAATTACATGTAGCGATGCCCATTAGACAATCCTATGGAATTTTGAACGTAGTTTTATTTAACTCAGATTATGCACGTTCAGTGTCTGTTTGTGTATAATTGGACAATATTTCACAGGCTGTGTTATTGCGATTCTATCGTGATTGGTTAATTAAACAATCAGTTAATAAAAAGTCATCTGGTAGTTTTAGAAGATGGACAAACATAAAACGAGAGGTCTATTTCTGTTTCATGAACAGAGCTTTCCGCATTATAGGTTTTTGTGGTATTTCATGCTTATTTTGTTCACGTGCAGTTTAACAGGTAAAATGACCAGTTTTATTAAAGAACAATGTTTTTTTTTTTACTTTTTTGCTGCTTCAGCAAGTCTTGTAGATATCTAAGATACATGCACTTTAAAGATGATGTCACATTACTTATAATAAAGTCATCATGACATCACCTAAATGTTCCTGTCAACGTAAATACCAAGTTTCAACCTGACTTATATAAATTGGGACCTATACTGGTCATGTATACATGTACGTTTACACAATCTCTGTTTGAGTTCAACATTGATGCAGGATCACATCCTTAACTAAACCTGGGTGCATGTACACTGTACCTGGCATTTTCTATTGGATATTGAGGTAGCTATAGTGTAATAACATTTATGTTTTTCATTCTTTTGTTTAAGATTATGATGCGCCCTTGTCAGAAGCCGGTGACTTGACGGAAAAATACTACAAAATCAAAGAAGTTATGAAGGCCAACACCCCCAAAGGAACAAGTAAGACAATATTCATTGAAATCCACTTTCGCATTTGATGTTAAAAGTCATTAGCACTTGTATTACATTGTGTTACATTGTATTACATTGTGTTACATTGTATTACCTTGTGTAACATTGAATTACATTGTGTTTCATTGTGTTACATTGTTTTACATTGTTTTACATTGTGTTAAATTGTGTTACATTGTGTTACATTGTGTTACATTGTGTTACATTGTGTTACATTGTGTTACATTGTTTTACATTGTATTACATTGTATTACATTGTATTACATTGTATTACATTGTATTACATTGTATTACATTGTATTACATTGTATTACATTGTATTACATTGTGCTACATTATGCTACATTGTGCTACATTGTGTTACATTGTATTACATTGTGTTACATTATACTACATTGTGTTACACTGTATGTAATTGATGAGTCCGTAAAATCATGCAATTCTGGAATGCTTAAGTACAGGGACTAATCGGGTAATGTACTTCTTGAAAAGTCACTCTTTTGTGCCTTCTCAGAGTTTTAACCCATTAGCACCTGGACTTTATTGTTAATACATTTTATTGTATTTATTCATTGAAATATCAATAAAACCATAACATGCTTGGGCGGTTTCGGGTGTTACAGTGAGTAATAGGCAGGGCGGTTTGGGTAGCTACAGTGTATAACAGTTTAAGTGGAACTCGAACCAAAAACCTTCTACATTTTTACTTAGAAGTGAAAATACACAACCCGCTGCTTAGCTTGCCAGTGTCCGCAAACAAACTGATGCAACAATTATCCAATTAAACGACTACAGTCTTCTCTACAGGCCATAGTTTGAGTGAAGAAGGCACCGTACCTTGTTCTAGGTGCAAATACTAGAAAAATCCTGTTTATTGAATCAGTTTATTTTCACTTAAACTGTAAAAACAGAGGTTGTAGAAATGTGATTTGTGAGCAATAGTAATATGTAACATTGTGTCAATGATCTTCATTTCACATTGGTTTATTACCCGCAATGGCGTCATTCGCTCAAGAATAATGCCCATAGTAAAAACCATTGTATTACATCGTGGTACATTATGTTACACTGTATGTAATTGATGAGTCCATAAAATCATGCAATGCTGGGTAGATTAAGTACAGGGACTAATCGGTTAATGTACTTCATGAAAAAGTCGCTCTTTTGTGCTTTTTGTGCCCTAAGCACCTAGACTTTGTTGTATTACATCATATTTATTCACTGAAAAATCAATAAAACCATAAAGTGTGGTTTCGGGTGCTACAGTGAGTAATGGGTTAAGTGGGATTCAAACCAAAAACCCTCTACATTTGTACTTAAAAGTGAAAATATGCATAAGTAACATTGTGTCAATGATCTTCATTTCACATTGGTTTATTACCCGCAATGGTGTCATTCGCTTAAGACTAATGCCTCTAGTAAAAACCACTAACTGGCAGACTCTGTTATGTTTTTAGTTCCAGACACGTTACCCAAAGCTCCCACCCAGATAGGGAAGATGGCTTACGGCGAGGTGCAAATCACTCATTACATGACTCTGGACGACTCCGCTGAAATTGTTGGGGTGAGTGCAAGCAGCAAACCCAATTCCTTGATGCATTCAACTCTGAAATCATTTTAATAAAATGAGGCAAAGTTGCAGAAATACGTATTTGCAATCTGGTGATTTTAATTGGTGCAGGATTCTGATCAGTTTCCCTGGGATGTAAATCCTCTTGCAGTTGCCTGATATCGCCATTTTTTCAAACTGTACATAGAATGTTGACACACACGTGTTGAGACACGTTTGTTTATGGTGTAAATCGAGGATTCTCTTTTGTTCCTCTTCCCTTTTCCTAAATACTTTATCTTTTTGCGCAACAGCTCTCAGTGGTTTTGTATGCGTTTTCCAACCGAGGTGTCCTCGATTCGGTTTCTGTCCTCAATTCATCGATGATGTTACACGTGCCTGTCGATTTACACCATAAACACGCATATATACAGTCGTGTTTTACCATACTCTCGAGGACAATGCTTTGTATTTCCCTTTGTCCCTGTAATATAACACTCTCCCATAGACTAAGTACATAACCGTACAATAGAGGACCGTTTTGAACAAAAGACCCAACTCCCGAGGACTGAAAGGATCTGTTGTTCTCCTTTTGCGTGTTAGTCCTCGGGGGTTATGTAGAACTCGTACACGTGTACTTTTACTCTATTTCTTTCTTTTTTTTTTCAAACTGAAATTAGCATGTTGACACAGGTGTGCATACTTTTACTTTTTTGGTCAAACTGTAAATAACATGTTGACACACATGTGCGTAGTTTTACTTTTTTTGGTCAAATTGTAAATAACATGTTGACACACGTGTGCATATTTTCACTTTATACCTCAAATTTCCAGCAAAAATGCCAAAGTCCACTTTATTGTACATCCCTGCTTCCTGCTTTATGTAGTTCGGATTGGAAACAATGTTGATAAATTCATTGTTGGAGAATTCCAGGAATTTTTTTTCAGAATCATGAAATTTTCCGCAATGAACCTTTACGAATTCATGAAGTCATGTCAAGTTTTCATGGGCTTATTCATGAGTCGGCCATATTAAATTGAAACCAAGTTTTCATTTTTGAAACTTGCAAAGAAAAATTAAAGCAATGACATAAGTAAATTACATATTTAATTAATCCAGTCTGCTGTGACGATTAATTTGAAATGTGTGATTAAACATACTCTACCTGCCTACTCTTTAAAGCCACATTAAAAAAAAAAGTGTGGCTAGAATGCATAAATAGTCTGGCACCATCCTTTTCAACAGTTCACAATTTATGAAATACATGCAGGGAACACGACCACAAAGGCCTACTTGTGAATAAGGTCCATACTGCAAATTTACAGCAGTTGAGGAGAATTTTGTAGAAAATGTTACATAATTACACGATGTCACATTTTTTTGCTTCGTGAAGTTTGATCCAGTCTTACCAGTATGTCTTAAAAGATACAGAGGGATTGTTGCAACCTCGACTCCATGGGCGCGTGCGCGTTCCTTCACTAACCCATGGCCGTGATGTACACAAAATCAATGCTGACTGGCTATTCAGAGCGTACTGCGCGGGCATTCGAAGATGCTGGGCGCGCCCATGATGCGCTCGCGTGCTTTGCATGTCACTTCACGTACAAATATTCAAAACTATGCGATGCCTGTACAAAATGGATTATGGCAGCCTCGTTTTTCGCTAAAAAACCCCCTGTACCTGCGGTTGTAAAAGGGACGAAAGGGGTACGTACCTTTAATAATAATCTTTGCTAAATAACGCAACGTCCAAACCCTATGTTTGAAAGCATTGATTCTTCAAAAACACAACTTTCAACATTTAAAAGATGGGGTAGGCACGTAAAACGGATAAACTGCAGCCTAATTATAATGTGCCATATTTTGGCACATTTAAATTACACAATTCCAGGGGTTGAGATCGCGCAAGGCATGATGGGAAACAACATGGCGCAGCAAGATCTCGTACCCATGGGAACGAGGTTGGGATTGTTGAAAAAAAGTGTTTTGTATTCACTTCCCCTCTCAAAACAAAAAAAAACTGTTTAATTTGTACATGGCACCAGGAACCCGTTAAGATGGAGAATCCGGTTGCTATGGAGAAACTGCCTATCAACCAAGATGGTGGTCAAGGATACGGATTTCTCCTTTATCGCACCACCGTCGACCATAACCCCGAAACTTTGAAGTTGGCCCACCCTCCACACGACAGGGCTCAGGTAATCATGAAAACTTTGTTCCCAAAATTATTATCGGCCATCCACAAATGCGGAAAGCCTTTTATTTTGTGCTGATTTTTTTTTATCTTCCTTTTCTTCTCCCTATAATGCGGTAGACTTTATACATTTGTTTTCTTTTTAAGGCCAAAAAAAAAATAAGCCGGTCGTTGGTCAGCGCGCGTCGATTTTAATCATGCGCGTCGATCTTTTTTTTTCCCAAAATGTTCCGCGGTAGCTCCAACAGCGCCCTCTATTTCCGCACCTCCTCAATTTTTTTTTACCAAAGAGCACCAAAGAATGGGAAATTGCACCGAAAGCAAATGACCGAAAGCACCAAGGCAAATTATGGAGGACACTGATGTACATGAGGACACCAAAAAATCAAAATAGTACCCCACCTTGTCTGTACAATCCAAGCTTGAAGGAAAAAAAAAAAAAAACCCGCGTGGCCGCGTCAATTCCGGAAATTTGGTCTGACCAGAGACCGAATATTTATTTTTTTTTGGCCTAAATGGCACTTTGGTCCCTGACAATTCGAGCGATTCACAATGCAGTGCACCACCAAGCATGACAAGAGTTTACCACAGAAAGTTTATTTTCCATTGTATTGTGGGAGATGGTTGACAATTTTTGCAATGCAGGACATTTGTAATTGTTCGTTTGCCGGTCAGTAGATTCGTAAGCGTAGGATTTAAGTATCTGTTTGCCCTTTTCTTTTCTATTGATCAATATGGTGTTTTTTGTAAAGCGGCAGAACGCTATGCCCCAATCTACAACAGACTAGCTCAAGTTGTCATCTGATGCTCATTCAAATGGGCCATGTTTTGTCGACCCCCAAACTTGAAAAATGGACTCTCCATATAAAACTCTTGGTGGCGCACTGCATTGTGTAACGCCCGAATTATGCACCAACCATACTTGGCACAGGCAAAGACCCTTCACTATAAAAGGTGTATACATTTACTTTGAAGTGACGTCATGATGTGTCATGTGACGTCATCTTAAAGATATAGTCCATCATTTGTAAGTGCATTTTGTTCGTTTGAAGCAACAAAAGTGTTAAAAATCTAATTAAGGATACTGAACAACTAACCTGATGAAGTTTCAGCTCAGCTTCAGCTGTATATTTTGAGAAAAACAGCATTCTAGGATCTCATTTTCAAATCAAAAGTTGTTGAATCATGTTTTGAATTGTTTTGAATTGCAGCCGTGGATACGCGATGTCGCTGCAATGCACTGATCCGACGAATTATAGCAACCGCACGCGCCTGTGCGTCATGCCAATGCTTGCACGCGCTGCGCCAAATAACAAAACGAACTACTAATTTAAATTTTCCTACGGTGCGTCTTAAGATGCACCGTTGGAAAGGCCTTCTTTCGTTGATTACTTCAAAATGACAGCTTGCCAGAAAGAATAATTTCACAGGGAGTTTAGTCCCCTTACTACTTTCAACCAAGTATGTTTTTCAACAATAATACGCCAGTTACTTTTCGGATGGCTGCAAATGATGGACTATAGCTTTAAAGATACGGTATTCAAATGTCCTATATCTAGAGAACAACACGTACATTGTACAAGTTCGATTGAGATGAAACTTTGTACATGTACGTACATAGACAATATATATATACATGTATGTGAAAACTGACATCATTTTATCAATTTATATATTTTTTTTAAACAAACTTCACAATTTATTTTGTAATAGGTTTTGTAGGTCATACCGGTAGATGTATTCACAAAAGTTGTGTACATGTACATACATGTATATATGTGCAAGGTCATCATAACATCAAAGTGTGTTTTGTAAAACACATGCATTTGTAAGGGAAGGTCCAGTCATGAAACAATTATGGCACTAGCATGCAAAAAACGAAATGATGTCACGATATCACGAAGTGATTTCTTTTATTTTATATCAATTGATTTTAGATCATGATTTTAGAAGTAATTGACTTGAAACTTTGCACCAGAGTGCCGAGTGTACATTATTCAATGTATAAAAGCAAATCTGATGCAATCAAGCCAAATGAGTCGTTTGTCAGGAATTTTCATTTGGAGTTTTAGGCCAAAATAGGGCCACTTCATCACATCTCTTTATTAATCACATCTCTTAGTGTTCCGACTTCCATAATTTTTGAACTAAAGATGGTACCAGCATGAGGTTTTTACAGCAGTAATGCTAAGATTGTGCTCTTTTCAAATCTGTAAAAAAAAATGACCAAGGTAGACAAACGACTCATTTAGCTTGATCGCATCACAAATAAGGACATAATATTACCACAATCTTATTACTCAGATAACACTGGTTTTATTTGTCAAATTTGTCAACTTGAAAAAAATATTCCTACAAGATAAAAGTTTAAAGATGCTTCATACCTTATGCAGATGCAGATACCGGTACAAAGTGAGTTTGACATAGAACATTTTCAATCACTGAAACTCACCAAACTTGAAATATGTTCATCTTATAATTTGCAGGTGTTTCTCAACTCTAAGGAAGTCGGTGTGATGACACGGATTAACAAGGATAAGGATACAACTCTAACATTAAAGGTGACTGCTCTATACATGTAGAATTTCAGAGCCCAATATTTTCAAGAGCAAATCCAGGATGGCTGACTGTCAATTCTGACCCGGGCAGTGCTATTGTATAGGATCACCATGTAAACTTATTAGAAAATCTTTGCTGGTCCCAGAGGCCAGCATAGTGTCCTCGTTGTACCTGTCACACTGTCTGACTGTCAATTCTGAGCCAGGCAGTAATATTGTATAGGAATAGGATTACCATGTTAAATATCAGAAAATCTTTGCTGGTCCCAGAGGCCAGCGTAGCGTCCTCATTGTACACGTCACAAGTACTGACTGTCAATTCTGAGTCAGGCAGTGCTGTTGTATAGGATTACCATGTAAAATTATCAGAAAATCTTTGCTGGGCCCAGAGGCCAGCGGAGTGTCCTCGTTGTACACGTCACAAGTACTGACTGCCAATTCTGAGCCAGGCAGTGCTATTGTATAGGATTACCATGTAAACTTATTAGAAAATCTTTGCTGGTCCCAGAGGCCAGCGGAGTGTCCTCATTGTGCACGTCACACTGTCTGACTGTCAATTCTGAGCCGGGCAGTGCTGTTGTATAGGATTACCGTGTAAACTGATCAGAAAATCTTTGCTGGTCCCAGAGGTTTGTTGTTTAATTTGAAATATTTTCTTTTCTTTTTCAATATCTTGTTTTTATTTGTAGGATGGTGTAAATGGTCCGAATACGTTGGAGCTGTTTGTGGAAAACATGGGACGAGTCAACTATGGAAACAAACTGGATCACGAACGGAAAGGTATTCAAATGTTAACTCAATGTTAACCAGTCTTGAATAATAAAAAAACAAATGAGATTTCATGTGTTGTTTAGAAAGGTTTAATTGTGTATTTATGCATAAACAAGGAATTTTTAATTCTGCACATGTGCATATCCCATAACTATTAGGATTCTGTGCTTACAAGGTTAGCGCAGCAATTATTTTGCAGTAGTGCTATTTGCCTGAAATTCAGCCGATAGAACTGCTTTGCCTTTTTTGCACTGCTGATGTAATTTTCCACAAATTCCATGTCGTGTCTTTGTTTTGTTTTACAGGAATACTGGGCATTGTCCAAATTGATGGCAAAACACAACTGAAGTGGGACATGTTGCCATTTGAGTTTAAAAAACCTTTCCTTGAGGCGTAAGTTCAATTTTTTTTTGTCAATTTATCAACTTTTTCTGCTCAGCAAAATCTCTTCGTGCTTAGCAATTTAGCGTGGTAATTATTTTTCAATTTATTGAGTTTTGTGGATGATGGGTATTGTAGGAACCTCTAAACCCCTTTGTGATCGGTGTAAGGGTGCACGGGGAGATTTAGACACATTTTAGACAAATACATATTTGAAAGTTAAAACAATCTAACAAATCTGATTTAAATTTTAAAAAGTCACATTTTGTTATTTTATGAAGAAAAAAAAAAAAATCGCCAACCCTGATTATTTTTGAACACTAATGAAGGTGCTGTCCGCCATCATTTACGGATGGAAACATACCTATGTACAAGAATTGAAGGTTATTGATGTTAGTTTATATATTGCAGCTCAAAAACTACAGTTTTACAAATGTTATTGTTCAGAAAAGTAAAAGGTTCCAAACTGTTCAATAAATGTGTTTGCAACCAGAAAATAGTGTTGCTTGTGCGTAAGGCGCTCGCCTCTCACCAAGGTGACCACGGTTCGAATCCTGGCCGCGGATCGCATGTGAGTAGAGTTGTGCGTTGGTTCTCTCCTGTGCCACGAGGGTTTTTCTCCGGGCCCTCCGGTTTTCCTCCCTCCGGAAAAATCAAACACTTTCGATCTTAGGCTGTGCTCCGTGGTCATATATGGGTCGATGTGGCCGGCAGCCAGAGGCGCCTTTACGTGCCAGCGGCCCGACCACGTTGTAGCCGCGTCCTTCGCAATTCAGCATACCAGCTGCGAGTAAGGATGATTAGCCTCCCAAATTATTATTATTATTATTAATCAAGCTAAATGAGTCACTTGTCTGGAATTTTCATTTGGAGATACAGGCCAAAATAGGGCCACTTCATCACATCACTTCATCACATCTCTTGGTGTTCTGACCTCCATAATTTTTGAATTAAAGATGGTATCAGCATGCGGTTTTCACAGCAGTAATGCTGAGATTGTGCTCTTTTCAAATATGTAAAAAAAAAATTAACCAAGGTCGACAAACGACACATTTAGCTTGCTCGCATCACAAATATGGCCAATTATATGCATGGTTGAAATGAAGGTTTATTTCAGTGCTGTTAAAAATTAAACATTCGCAGTGTGCGTTTATTACGGTATTGAAGTTACCATTTCTATTGGTGACCGATTGTTTTGTAGTAAGTTATGAATATGTTTACATGTATTTGTATTTGTTGTCTTTTTGGAAAGGTTGTCTTCATCAAGCAAATGGAAGGAGTATCAAAAGGTGGAAGGCGGACGACCTGCACTCTTCAAAGCAACGTTAGACGTTTCTGACAAACAACCTAAGGATACTTTTGTAGACATGACTGTACGTGCATGTAGCCTTGCCGATATTGTTTTAAATGATATATATTTACAGTTACATGAAAGTTAAAGGGGCACTAGGTCCTGAAATCCCCGAAAAATGTTATGTTTTGGATTGTTTACTTAGCCTATTTCAAACATCTGGTTGAAAGGAAACCAACCTAATGTCTTAACGTTCCCGAGAAAAGACGGAAAAAAACCTCTGTTTACATCGGACATGACGGAGTATGAATACGTTTTTCGTTTCTTTCTCATGTACGCTATACACGTTGTGTGTCTCGGGAACAGCGCGCGGTGACCAATCACCAATGCAAAAAATTGTGGTTTCTTCAACGTCCGCAAAAGGCGAACACTTTACGCGTACGAATGAAATCACAACTAGCATCCAAACAGCTCGAATATGGGGTCGCAAAAGTGGACCCCGAAATTCGTTCTCGCACGCATAATACAGGAATAACACAAAAACGCCCAGTTGTGAAAGGATAGTTGTGTAGATGTTTACATCCTACTTTTAAAAGTTATTTCCGATTATCATCATCTCGTTCAAAGCGCGTTTTGTAGCCCAATTGGGCTGTTCCAGGACCAAGGGTCCCTTTAAATAGGAACTATAGAATTACCTACACGTAGGACAATATTTAGAAACCCTTAACCCTCCTGCTGTTTAAACAGTCACAGACAGTCAAAATTCCATTCAATTTCCCTGCAATGCCTTTAACACAGACTAGTCACAAACAATCGGTTCATATTTCAAGCAAGCACTCTGACTAGTTGAATTCAGTTGACAGACAAAAGCAGGAAACTGTGGGCACAGCTGTCTTATCAATCACTCACAGTCAAGTTACTTATTTAGAAATGTTCTGTATTTTTTTTCACAAGGCCATAAAAAAAAGAGTTCTGCTTCCCATTACATGGCATTTGAAAATAGGGTAGGGTAGGTGGGGAATTTGGGTTTTTTTGGGCCATTTTTTTTGTGTACGATCAAATGGAGGTGTACAAGTGATATTTGTCAACGGTTTCCCATAAAAAAATTAGGCTAGGGGCTGTCAGAATAGGGTAGGTAGGGAAACCGGAAGCAGAACTATTATTTTTTGGGACCCAATCATTGCATTTTTAAATCCGTTATCACACTGTATTTATCTGGACAGGGGTGGGAAAAGGGAGTGATATTTGTCAACGGTTTCAACTTGGGTCGCTATTGGAGCGTCGGCCCGACTTCAACCTACTATCTGCCTGGGCCGCTATTGAAACAGGGCAAAAATGAGGTGGGTATTCTTTTTTCTTAAATTGTTTTATTTCATACGCCATGCCTTGTAATGGTTCTATGCATCATTTTAAATTGGCACTGTATAGATTAACACTTTCAGTGCCCACAAAATTTGAAAAGTTTAACCCTAAAGTGCCCAACTTCGATCGTTTTTTGTAATTGTTCAAAATTCTGTAAAAAAAAAATGTAAATAAGTTTTACTCACTAAATTTGTTGTTGCTCTCTGGTATATCCTTGGTACATTGGAAAGTCAATAGTAGTCACGTACACAGTGATGCACCCTGAAACACTGTCCTGCACACAGGGGAATTCCGCACATTTTGCAGAAAATACGAGTGTCAGTGCTGCGCCCTCTTGCAAGAACTCGAATGAAACAAATAAATACAGGTCGTACCTGAATGAAAATGATATTATAAGAAAGAGCGAGAGCACCCCCTTGTGATAACATGTTACTCTACCTCGTACATGTACGAGGTTTGGCGATTTTATGTACGAACATTACCTCGTACATGTACGAGGTTGGTACTTCGAACTAACAAATATACCTCGTACATGTACGACTTTGGCACTGAAAGAGTTAAAGTGGTGTTAAGTTGTAATGGCATTGTGAGGACTTGTGAAGACTGTGAGGACTTTTCAAGTCTTCAGCAGACTTAATTTGAGGACATGTTGGGACTTGTGATGGACTTATGAGGACTTGACCACAAAACTAAATCTTAATTGTGGCAACAAATTTTGTTACTGACATGAAGATACAAAGTAAACTCTTTTCTTTTTCTTTCCTTGTCGGATTTCAGATAATCATTTTCGAACTCCATCAGAGCAGCAGCAAAATCAATCTAACAGATACACATAGCCTGGGCGAAACCGTCCACGTGAAGAACGACGAGGATGAGTGATGAGATAGGTTGCAATAAAAGGTAAGAACCAGGTTAGGCTTTTTTTACAACAATAATAATGCGGTGATGACGCTTTATGCCAAAGGTCTCCAAACGCTTCACAATTATTACCCCTCCCCCAGGCCTGTTCATCTAGTCTGAGAATTACCCGTTATCCACTTTACCCAGTCCCCGGTCTAAAGTCTGATATCATATCAATTCCTTTTCGCACCCTTTCAATGCACCACACAACCGCTCGAACATCCCCATATTGGAACGATACATGGAATCAGCGGGGTATTTTCAGTTTTTATGTCATAACTAACAAACAGGGTAAACGTTTTCGTCCTTAACCCTTACTCTCTAAGGGTAGTTTACTGCATGTCAGTTGGTTATGCCAATGCCCTCCAGCTGCAGTTTATTGGCAGATAGTTCGTCTTAACAGTGAAGGCTCCAATTGGCAGGAGTTGGAGGCCCTGGAGGGTGCCTGATACTGACCAGCTGGGGGCACTCACTTTGTTATCAGAGGACTCTCATTGTTCTCTGTGGCATGTATTGGAGTGCCTGTCCAGTTACCCTTGAAATGACATGGCAGATATTGGAGGGGCATGCAAAAAACATAGGAGATTTTCTTGAGGCACATATTGGCATGCGTTGGAGGGTCTAGTAGGGTAAGGGTTAATCAAGTATTATGAAGACTATATAATATGCTTCAATTTATATTAGAAAAGAAGCCGACTAAACCCCGTCATTTTTGGGATAAACTTCACAGCTGTCCCAAGTTTTTGGTTCAAATGTGTGTGTAAAGTCGCTTTTCCGCTTAGTTTATGCCGCACTGACCATCTTCACCTCGCCATAATTTCCGCTAGTGCCCTCCGTTGACTTAATCGCACAGTAGACTTGGTGATTCATAAGCTATCAATGTAAAATTCATCATGATTGGGCAATGTTAACCCCCGTCCAGTATGAGACAAAGAATATCCATCCAATAAAGTAAGCTCTTTGATCCATGTGGTTGTGGGGGGGACGTTGTATTTACACAATGCTCAAGGCCAAAGATTAAGAGATAAGAGTGCAGGCATAGCAGCTTTCAGAGGAGCGTTTTTACTATGGAAGGAATTGTATGTGATCTAAGCATGCAGATTGATGTGATCTCGCGCCTCAGCCAATTGGAGTCGACTTTACTTAATTGTGACGTCATTTCAATCCCAAATCAGGACTAAATGTTTGATTGGTCAATTTGAATGCAGTGTTTTGTAATACAACAGCCAGGCGCGTATCACGTAACATAATACAGAGCGCTTGACCACAGCCTTTGTTTGCTGTGTCTAGGTTTTTTATATCCATGTCTATGAAGCGACAACGGATGAATGACTGAAGACCTGATATAGAAAGTGCCCTCTGATTGGTCAAAATCCAGAGGTCAAGAGGCGATCGTCTTGCATAATTAATCAGCAACTCTGCTCACATATCATAGACCATGGCTCTTCGCCATGGTCTATTACATAGACTACTGTTCATAAATGAGACTAATTACTGCAGCATCTTCGAGATCTGCGCATTCTGGTCTCTACCTTCACAGGTACCCATTTGTTCTCCTGGGTGGAGAGAAGCAATGGTAGTAAAGTGTCTTGCCCAAGAACACAAGCACATTTCCCTGTTAGGATTTGAACCCACGTATTACACCAAGGTACAGAGTTGTAATGACTCGAGTCAATGACTCGACTCGACTCGACTCAAATCTGACTCGAGTCACAATTTTTGGTGACTCGACTCGACTCAAGTCCCTTTGGGTAAATGACACTGCTCAACTGTGTACATACTGACTTGTGTTTGCACATTTATTGTTTCTTTTGTTTATTTTATTTATAGTGTTTCAATCGCATTGGCCAGAGAATGAAGTGCATTATCCCTGCATATGGTATTTAGAAATGATGTCAGGTCATGTGATCACCGGCCAGCCAATCAGATTTGTTCCCTGCAGCATCTCTAATATGAGGGGAAGTATACAAGGCCTTTTTAATGGGATTTTAATTGTTTTAAATTTACAAGAATTTTGTATTCAGAACAGATTAGACTTCTGATTTCTTTCATTAATTAAAAACAAAGAAGTTTACATGTACTATCCAAATTAGGATTTTTTTTCAAGTGTGTTGCCTTTTGCAATTTGTAGGAAATAGACAAGTATCACCATTAATATCTGAGACAATCTACTCATTCCTATTGGTCAAGAGTCTGTCACATGGGTGCTTTTAAACTGCTGATAAAACAACAGCTGGTTTTAAACACAGTTCATGCGCCGCGCACACCAATTTCCATATAAGGAGATATTTAGCAGTGCGTGCACGAGGCACATATCGTAGACATGGCCAGAGGGGTGTTTCACAAGATATAGAGTAAACTGTTGAATAAATTTGTTGGGAAATTTGTGATTTTTTGACTGTTTAGACTTCTTGACGGAAAGGTAAATTTATGAACAGGAATACATTATGTGCTTAGATGGTTTTGAACAAGTATTTTTAAAACTGGTTGGGGCAAGTGCACTTGTTTAAAACAGGTCAAGCACATATTTATTCCCTTTATTTAAAGAGTTTACAATTTTGAGTTAATAAAAGCAACTCAATGTGGCTTGATATTATTAACAACTCCTTTTTTGGTTCAGTTTGCTTTGTTTCCCTTAGAGAAGATTACGACAAAGGTATTTTTTTACTTTTAGTAAAATGATAAAATTTGAGCATTAATTGCTATCTTTGTTTGCAGCTGGGAATGTTACAATGTTATATCATGTACAAAAATAGATAACTTTTGTGTGGAAAAGTTTCAAAGTAAGTGGTTGTCTTCAGGGTTCGACCGTAACTTTTTTCTTCACTAGCCAGCCGGGCTACTGAAACAGACTTTATACTAGCCCGCAGCAAGGGTGGATCCAGAACACAATTTTCTGGGGGGCCCCAAAAAATTTTGGACCCCCAAAAAGTGGGTCCAAAAAATTACGCCGTGGGGTTCGGGGCCCGCTTAAGGGCCCCGAAAAATTTTTGGATTCTAGATGCTCGGTGGTGCGATCTGAGGCAATTTCTGACCACTTTAACCAATGTTTTTTTGAGGAAAAGATGGTGGTGTACTCATTGCCTGCCTTTATTGCGATGTCACATAAAAAAAAAAAAATTGGTCTCGTTTTTTTTGGGGGGGGGCCATGGCCCCCTTTGGCCCCCCCTCCCCCCCCGGATCCGCCCTTGGCCCGCAGGCATGTTCACTAGCCCGCATGTGTTTTTCTTTTATATTGTCTCATAAACATGTGGGCCTGAAAGTTGAACCCTGGTGGCGCACAAATTTATAGGTTTTATTTCTGAATTTAATGATTTATTTCTTCCTGTCCTTTCATCTTTGCCGTATCACAATACTTTTTGACTCGCCAGCTGGGCTTCTTAAGAAATAGTTTGACTAGCCCGCCGCTGTTTTGACTAGCATTTGGCTAGCGGGCTATTGCTAATTTCGAACCCTGTTGTACTTTAAATATGATCTGGGATAAAAGTAAGTTCTTCAATGCTTTAATGTGGATTTCATATTGATATTTTGCTTCTGACTAGCGCCGTTTGCTGAAACAGACTCTTAACTAGCCCGCAAACTAGTTTGCTGAAACAGACTCATAACTAGCCTGCTTTTATGTGGATTTCATATTGATATTTTGCTTCCGACTAGCGCCGTTTGCGAAGACATTGATTAATTGGGTAATCGTCAGCATAGGGCTGGATAGCTCAGTTGGTAGAGCACCGGAACGGCAATCCGGAGGTCGCAGGTTCAAACCCCACTCTAGTGAATTTCCTTGTCTTACCTTTGTTAAAATAATGTATATATTTCGACAGATTGTTTTATTGGAATATGTCTTTCATGAGTTAATGAATAGATCACTGATTCTCTAGAGTCATGATAGTTTTAAATTGTTGCAGCTGAGTCAGCACATGTGCCCCCACAAATTTTGTATTTTTTCAGTTGGCCAAAATGTCTTTTGTCAATGGATATAGCGAGGCATTAGTGGGGCCCGACTGGGAAAAACTACAATAGGATGTTTGTGATATGTGCTCCCATGATATATGATGCGCGATCAAGCTACACGAGTCGTTTGTCGACCCTGGTAAAACAAATTTCACAGATTTGAAAAGAGCACGATCTCATCAGCATTACTGCTGTGAAAACCGTATGCTGGTACCATCTTCAAGTCAGAACACCAAGAAATGTGATGAAGTGGTCCTATTTTGGCCTGAATCTTGAAATGAAAATCCCCGACAAATATGACTCATTGAGCTATTGTATGAACTATATTCCGAAACCATGTAGTACCCAGACCCTCTTCTTTGGTTGTATAAACAAAGTCTTTGGAGAGTCGAGTGCATTTTCAAAGTATTTTCTCACAAAATTGGCAATGTTTCTCAGTCCCAGATTCATGTCTTTTCAACATGTTTGCAGTGACTGACCTTCATTGCGATAAAACATGATATCGTTTCAGTTTGCGGTAACACCATGGGTCATAACTACTGCTTAGGAGATATTAGTTCTGAAAAGAACTTGTCCTGCTTATTATCAACTTTCGCTAAGTAGTTTTAGTTTTGATAAGAACAGTCCTGCTTTAAGTTGTAAAGAAATTGTCTTTTGTCTTTGGGAGACGCTACCGATACTCCACCATGCAAAGCCTAAAATCTTAGATAAAACATGATAAAAAAAGTGGTATCAGGATGCAGCGTTCTTTCCAAATACAGTCGAGTCTCGTTAATACAAACTCGTTCAGACCTAGCAAAATTGTTTGTTATATCAGAATTTTGTATCAAGAGGAACATCAGTCCAATTCATTGTGCACATAAATGCACAGTCGGGGCTAAGGCTTTATGTTTGTTATAACCAGAATTTTGTATTAACAGAGTTTGTACTAACGAGATTCGCCTGTATTGATTTCTTAGTGGGAAAATTAACCCTATTAAACGATCCCCATTCAGTCAAACTCCAGCACCAGGGTTTGTTGGAATCTGTTGGGATGAGAACTGCACTGGTAAACTGATTATGCTTTACATGGGGTCAGGCATACCACTAATATAGAGAGTTCGACTGTTTATGTGTAATCAACCATGTGATGTTGGAATTTGCAAGTGTGGGGAAGGTTCCTAGTCATATCACCCTAGGGGGTTTGGGTTAGGCCTAATCAGCCCGTCAGAAATGGATCCCACAAAAAGGAGAAAAGTTTGCGTGATATGTTTTATCAGATACCGCTGTTTTTTTTGGCGATGGTTACTGGCTACATACAAATTGGCAATAAAATTACCTTCTTTTTTTTGAACGTTTTGGTTTCCATAGTAATTTAGGAAAGTAGTCCTAAATATTTTTCCTTTAAATTTTTGTATTTTTAATAGTCGAGGATGCTATTTTTATATTTTGCTTGATTGGTTTAAAAACTTTGAATTTGTAGTAAACAAACGAATGAATAGTGTGTAGCAAGGTATTTAAATATCAATTAAATATATGTATATTTGAGGTTTTTTCAGCAAACTTCTTTTCAATGTAGTGATTTAAACTGATGATAAACATTTCTTCTGGTACATATTCTACAAAGTTGGCAAACCACGTTAGATCAACAGTTTTCCGCTGGACTGCCGCGGAAAGAAAGCTTTCACGTTTTAATACAAAATGTTAATTTAACAGAGCAATTTATCGGTTTCATACAAAATCAACAAGAAATTTTGAAAACTGTTAATTTCTGCAATTTTGACACAACGTAAACAAAGTTCAGTTTATACAATATGAACGTTCCATACGTGAACATCATTATGTTGAAAAAAGATAATGGGGCAATAACATTAATAAAATGGTGAAATGTTGATGCTGATTTTATTTCATTTTTTTTTTGGACAAATTTTATGCCGTCTTTGTACACAATATGATTGACCTCAACATTTAATGAGAATACAGCATTATATCAGTTATCCCAGAAGTGCCACAAACTCAGACTTAATATCCCTTACATAAAATACTTTAATTTGCGACGGATCAACACACCTTGGAAATTCCTAGTTTTTGAGTAAAATCCATATATCTATTTCGTGATAACCTTGTGGAGACGTATTCACCTATAGAAATTGCCCTGTGGAGACGTATACAATCTTTTGTTCCCTGTTGTGCACATGTCTCCACAGGGTACCATGTACCAGATCACTTGTATGCTGTACAAACTTTTCAGCAGTTAGCCTATTACACCTATGTGCAGAGGGAATGATGCGCACATATTAGGATTCCTACATATTCTGGTTCACGCGCATAGCTTAAGTGTATGTTGACAACTTGACATCAACGCGCTTACCAGCTCGTGAACCAGAACAAAGACAGATGACATCACATTTGGGCACTCTATTGGATAATATAGCATGGTTTGTTGCCATGGATCTCTGTGACATCACACTTGAGTACTCTATTGGATAATATGGCACGGTTTGTTGCCATGGATATCTATGACATCACACTTGGGTACTCTATTGGATAATATGGCACGGTTTGTTGCCATGGATCTCTATGACATCACACTTCGGTACTCTATTGGATAATATGGCACGGTTTGTTGCCATGGATCAACCAATTAGGATCAAGAATTCAAATTTGCTTGAAGATACAAATTCAATGGGTAGTGTATTGTTTTTGCTTTTTGTATTATGTACTTTGTTCTCCCAACTTGTTAGCTCATAAAACAACACAAAAAGGTTGTCAAAACGGAAGTGGTGCAACTAAATACAACAACATGGACAATCTTTTATTGAAGAAAACAGAAGAAAAAGTGACACCAACTGTGAAACAGCTAGGTCGTCAAAAAATGAAACAAAACATAGAAATCACCTCATCATAAATACCACCATTTTCACTTGAGTCGACTCTCGTTAATACAAACTCTGTTACATGTAATTCAACTTATTAACTCTCTTAACTCTCGTTTATACATGTACAAACTCTGTTAATGCAAATTCTGGTTATAGTGAACAAAAACATGTTTGCCCCATCTCGACTGTGCATTAATGTGCACAATGAATGGGACTGAGCTCCTTGTAATACAAGATTTACATGTAGGTATAACAATTTTGCTAGCTGCGGCTGAGTTTGTAATAATGAGAGTTGACTGTAAGTAAATTTCTTTATCGTTTCAAAGTGATTCCAGCGAAGTTGGTTGGAAAGTTGTTTGGAATTGTACAAGGAATACCTGATACGTTAAGCCTACTGTGCATTTATTTCCCTGCAACTTGTAACAGATATTTAATTAGTAAGGCTGACACAAATGTACCAAATGTTCGATCATTTCGATGATCAACCGAATGTTTGAACAGTTTTTTTTCGGTTTGACTAAAAAACCTGCCACACTATGCACACACACACGATTGTTACATTCGGTGGTAACTTTTTGGTTGCACATCAATTTGAATGTGCAACTTTTGCGTGCAACTTTTAACCGGCATGCCACCTGTTTTAATTGCATCGTTGGCGCTCTTATGTCAGAGGCCATTTTTTTGGTGGCAACTTTTTGGTTGCACACAAATTTGAATGTGCAACTTTTGCGTGCAACTTTTAACCGACATTCCACCTTTTTTAATCGCATGTTTGGGCGCTTTTATGTCAGATGCCAGTTTTTTGTCGGTGGTAACTATTTGGTCGCACACAAATTGGAATGTGCAACTTTTGCGTGCGACTTTTAACCGGCATGCCACCTTTTTTAATCACATGGTTGGGCGGTTTAATGTCAGTTTTTTGTTGGTGGTAACTTTTTGGTCGCACACCAATTTGAATGTGCAACTTTTGCGTGCAACTTTCAACCAACACGCCACGCAGATGTGGCTGGTGTGTGTAAAACTTGATCAGAGAGTTTCGAATATTCAAATATTTGGTCAAATGCAGTTTCAAATAATTGAATACTAAATTATTCGAAAATGGACAGCCCTATTAATTCAAATACTCCTTAATACAAGAAATGGGCAGGATGAACAAGAGACAATTTTTGTGGAGCATTTGACATCACAATGCTTTGAATGTATGCCATACAGGATGTATGTTACAACTAATACCAAAAGTTTACACTAGCAACCTGCACATGTAAATTACTGGCCACCAAATTACAGTACACTAATGTAGAAGCCAGTGGCCAGCTGGCCACTAAATCATTCTAGTTTGGTAACCAGTTGGCCACTATCTTGTACTACTTTGGCAGCCAGTTCGACAGGCCAATACATGTATCAGAAACGTTTATCAACCAGAGACCAGGTGCCCATTGAATCAGTCTAGATCGGAAGCCGAAGGCCAGCTGGTAAATGAATCTAGTTTGGCTGACAGAAGCCAGCTGGCCATTATAAATTTGTGAATTTAGTGGCCAGTTGGCCACCAAATTAGACTATTTTAGCAACCAGCATTCAAGTTTCGTAACTACATGCAAACTGGCCACAAAATCTGTTTAGATTAGTATCCAGTTGGCCACCAAATCAGACTACCTGTACATGTGGTTTGGCAGCCAGAGGCCAACTGGCCACCAAATCAGTGAAATTATTTAATAGGAAGAGCCAGTTGGCTGTCTAACTAGTCCATTTTGGAAGCCAGTTGGTCTAGTTTGGTAGCCAAAGGCCACCTGGCCATTAAATCAGTCAATTTTGGCCACCAGAGGCCATCTGGTGACCAAATCTAGTTAAGCGACATGAGGCCAGAAAGCCATCAAAGTCTAGTTTGCGTGCTAAGGCTAAATCGGTCTCGTTTGGCCGCCAGAGGCCAACTGGCCACCGAATCAGTCTAGTAGTTTAACTGCCAGAGGCAAGCAACTCCTGTCCAGTCGGAGAGTCATTTTCCGTTCAGTGTTCTCATTTTTACACTCCTTTGATTTGTAACGTCTTCTGTAGAACATGAGCATCAGCCGGCTCGATTCTCTTGTAGTAGTGCTCCTTCGTCTCAATGATTTCAAAGTCAAACTTCTTGTAGAACTCTATTGCCGATTCATTATTAATTTGTACATGTCTGGGGAGTGATACAGAAAGAAGAAAACAGTTATTTCATTTTGTGTTTAATGCACAACTTGCTGATGTTTAATAATTCAGGGTTTATATTACTTGTCAATCATGGGAACATTTCTGAAAAATTCAACTTTGGATGAGTTACAGCTCGGTCGAGTCATATCTGCAACGAGTTCCGTATCAGGTATAAATTGCAGGATTCTGATCAACTTTCCCGCAATGAAGTTATCAGTATTGATGAGTCAAGCAGTTGCTAATGAAAATTTGCCCGGAACATGTCGGGGACAAATGCAGAGCTTCTTTCCGACAAAGTGAATGATTCTACCCTCAACTTGACTGAAACTCATCCGGGACACGAATTGAGACGAGCCATTTGCTAACCATAGTGGGAAACACTCCTCTAAACAAACAATCACAGTGATATGGTTTTATTTGGAAAACACAAAAGGTGACTCTGGTGTTTAACTTTGAAAATTAAAGGTCGGTGCTCCGTCAAAAAATGGAGGGGGGCGCTATTTGCAGATGAACATTTAATTTACATATGGGCAACAGATTTTAGGCCATTTATAACAGTTAGGTACAATACTGGCTCAGCATCATTTTTTGTTTAATACATCAGTGACCAGGGACTCTGAGGCAGTTTGGCCTTGAGACTTTTGACCTGATGGATTGCTGCAATGGGCAGGCTTGTCAGTTTGGCAAGTGTTGCACTTTACTGCTTTTGGCAGAGTTCCTGGCCAAAATACACCCTGGAGGTTAAGGGTACATGTAGTCCCACTTGTTGGTCTTTTTTATTATTATTTTATTTTTTTTAAAGCATGGTGGCAACTTTTGAAGCATGGCGGCAACTTTTGAAGCTTGGCAGGTGCCTCAGAAAGCATGGCGGGGCACCGGGGTATTTTTACAGGTTGGAGAACACCGATTCTTGTCATTGATATGGTGTACTTACAGATAAATATTACTGATGTTGCCGTCTTTGCTGCAGTACTCAAGGACGTGTTTCAGCATCACTGTGCCTATTAAGGAATGACAAACAAATGTGAAAGTTTATGAAATTTCTACAAAATAGTTTTTGAAGTTACTTGTACCACTTTTCTTTTCACGATCTTGATTCTAAATCCTAAATCCAACAAGATCCAACAGCAAAGCATCTCTTGTTGGAATATTAATCTTAATTGTGAACAAAAGATATTTCGTTCTAGCTGTTAGAGTTCAAACTAATTTTTGAGCTTGGAAAACTACCTTCATGAGTTATAATCATAAGTCGATCAGATGTCAAACCGTCGCATCAGTGCAACAAGGTCGTAACTCCATTCTGCAACAAAGTCGTATCTCATGCGAATACGCTCCATGCAACAAGGTCGCATCTCGACATCCGTTGACTTTGCGTGTACATCCAGGTTTTTTTAAGTGAGATACGACCTTTTGACATTCTGAAACTCAGGTTTCACGTACGGCCCATTTTAGGAGATACAACCTTGTTGCACGGACACAAAGAAATCACAAGCCAATAACACCTCAATCGGAAGTCAAATCACAAGTTAATCATAAGTCAAATCACAAGTCAATCAGAAGTCAAATCACAAGTCAAATCACAAGTCAAATCACAAGGGAATCACAAAGTCAATCAGAAGTCAAATCACAAGACAATCACAAGTCAAATCACAAGTCAATCACAAGTCAAATCACAAGTCAATCAGAAGTCAAATCACAAGTCAATCACAAGTCAATCGCAAGTCAAATCACAAGTCAATCACAAGTCAATCGCAAGTCGATCGCAAGTCGATCACAAGTCAATCGCAAGTCTCACTGCAAGTCATATCACAATCTAAATCACAGTTCATTTGAATCAACGAGTTGAGACTGACTAACGATTGACTTGGTGATGAGGACTTTATCACATCACAGGAACCTACCGATCCCTAGTTTTCTGTAAGGAGCCAAGCAGCCCAGCGTCATGATGTACAGCCGTCTTGTTCCATCGTCCGTTGTGTCAATCCGACAGCAGACAGCACCGACCACAATGTCATTGAAATAGCCTTGAGACAAAAAGAAAAAAACCCTCAAATGTTAGAAATAATTATCCCTTTTTAAAACTGAGAGGTACTGGATTCTGAAGGTGCAGAATCTTGAAGAAAAGTTTCCTTTAAAAATTGAATTGAGTCTGCAAACTTGGTTGGTGAAATACTGAGGACATTTTCTTTGCCCCAGTGGAATTTTTGGAGAAATTTGCTGGCTAAACTGTGAGTAAAGTGGGCCTGATTTAGTTTTGCACGTTTCAGAGCACTCCAGAGCCCTGTCTGTTGGGGGGTTTGGGTTGGACTAGTCTAAAACATGTTCACATTCTTGAGAGCCCAAATTTTCGGACGTTGGATTCAGCAGACAACTGAAAATGAGGCACAGTGGATTGAGCAGGAAACTCCGGTTGGACTCTGTTGGATTTAGCAGGGCAGTCCTGAGGAAGTACTAGGGGGTTAGGGTTGGACTAGTCTCATACATGTTCACATTCTTCAGAGCCCACATATTCGGACTAAAACCAGAACGTGCTGTGAAATGTAGCAGGGGTCGTCGAAGTCAGGGGCCTAAAATCTCCTGAAGTGGATTTCGAATAAGCCACAGCCGAATGTCACAGGCTGTGGCACTCACATAATTTGGCCAGTTCACCCACATCCAGCACATCCTTGTAGAATTTGTCATTGTAGGAGACGGGGAACACGACCGAGTTGAGCCGCTTGAGCTGCTTGATGTTGTGCGGTGTGATGGCACCCAGTTCAATCCGTCCTCTGGTAAGCAAGAAATGTTAGAGAAAAAATACAGATGTAGTAAAAAAATGTAAAAATAGATGCTCAAAGCTCAGCATGGTAACCTATTGTTTTAACTTTTAACCAATCAAGCTACCAAAGCAATGTGGTTGTAACTTTTAACTTAACTTTGTATTTTTGCAATTCCGAAACAACACCTGTGAAAATTACGTTATGGCTGCCGTAACAATAGCCACTATATAATTTTTAACCCCTCCCCCCCCCCCCCAAAGAAAAAGACAAATACGGTAGTCTGAAGTTGTGCACAGGCAGACAGGCGGCTTAACAAATTTAAAAAAAAAAGAAATAGAAATGGAACCGGTCATATACAACTTAGTCAAGCAACTTAAACGTTAATTTAAAAAATGATCTGATCAAGATCATGCTGGTTCATTGTTGCGTTGATTGTCATGATTGTTTTAATTTATTTGTATGACATGTATGATGAGGTCATTATACTTTTACAGACCTATGCTAACATAAAGCAGGAGATCGTAACGGTTCAGCAAGTAAACAGGTAATTAAATATGCAATGCAATGGCAAAGTTGCAAGCCAACATTTATTACACTGCGTGCCGTTGGTACGGCATTCGTTAAAACCGCACGCACGATATCGTACGTACTCACCGTGTCATGACTAGGTTTATTTTTGGCAGAATCGGAGCCCTCCTTATTCGGCTAAGACTATTCTACCCAACCGATCGTTTGCATTCTAATAGAAGCGCCGAATTATCTGTTTCAAAACAGTAACTGCGGTCTGATTTTGCGAAAAGAACGACCTCAAAATTTTCCCGGCAAAAGTCTTCCGCGATCACGAAATTATTTTTAGCATGTGCGCGGAAACTGGTATCCTGTCCCAATTCTCGTTTTGAGTCATATCCAGAAATTGGTCACCACTTATTTTTTTCCTACCATAGTCAGGTGCTCCCTTGGATCGTCTCGTGTTAATAAAAGAAGTCCAGGTACTGTGTAGATGTTTTGGGCTATTTTACGATGGAGTCGCCTCTTTTTGTAGCCCAAGAGAGATCGATGTTGTACGCAAATGAATGGAACATTGGGCGCTTTGGATTAGGTGTGTGCGCGAGAAGACTTATCACATGATTTTGTGCACATCGACTGATGAAACAGGTAGGTCTTCGCAAAATTGGGTAAAATCTATGTTTTCATTTTATTTAAAGGTTTAAATTAACTGGTTCTGGGTTTACAATTAAAAGGTAGGAGTTGTCTGTGCTAATGCATTATTTATAATAAGGCTTATGTAGGCATAAATTATTTCTGTGTGGCATTTTTTTCTCAACTCAATTTGCTGGATCGAAAATGCATGCAAAATGTGGGCGGGGCATGGGAGGGGGTAATATAGTTACGGGTCCCATTCCTATTCAGCGATGTTTAAAACCAACAGAAATGTAGAGAGGGCATGGATGATGGAGGGTAAGTTACCAATGGTTAGGGTTTAGATTTTTTGAGGGAAATTTTGGGTAAAATGAAGCTTAACATGCTTAACTTAAGTTAAGTTAAGCCTGGGAAGTTAAACAGAACCCTACATCATGCCCTAGGCTGGTCCTACTAAAATGCGTCAACAAGCGTCAACTGGCGTCAACAAACTTTAACGGTCGTCAACATGGTCAACCCAGCGTCAACAAATTTTGTAGAAGTTTTGGAAAATCAAAAACAGCAATTACATGTATATGGTAGAAATGGCAACAAAGAACACCTTCAGCATATAAATTAAAGTTAAAACTATTTCAATTTTTTTTTTCAACGCGAAATGTACGACGACTCTTTCGAGTTTGTGTTGGCCGCCATTATGTTAACGTGAAGCTAGCCGTACTACGCATGCGTGAAGTGTACAGGGCCATACTACGCATGCGCGAAGTGTACAACGCCATCCAAACAAGATGGCGGCCTACACTAATCGACAAACTCGTACATTTCGCATTCAAAAAACAAGTTTTTAAATAATTTTAACTTTAATTGATAATGTGCAGAAGATGTTCTTTATTGCTTTGTCTACCATATAAATCTACTTTTAATGTTCAAAAGCATATACAAAATTTGTTGATGCTTGTTGACGACCGTTGACGCTTGTTGACACTTTTCAGTAGGCTGTAGTTGTAAAAGAGGACAAAATCAATTTATGCTTCAAGTTCAACTTATTCATAGAATATTTTTATTTTATGTTAATGTGAAAAGAATGATTTGTCAAACTAAACTTGAAATGTAAGACAAAAAGTTATCTGAAGAAAGAATAATCTGAAAAAAAAAAGAATAAAAAAAAGTTTAAATAATGAATAAGGCCAAATAAAAAAAATACATATTTAATGCCCTGCCTTTTTTAACAAAAGGTAGCATGAGGCCCTTTTTTTGTCACTCTCTTAAACTCTTCAAGCCATCCCTGAAGAAAAACACTGGATGTAGGAAGAAATTCTTCACCCAAAGAGTGATAAACATATGGAATTCCCTTCAAGCAGTAGTGAATGCCAAAATTGTACTAGCAGCATTCAAGAAAAGACTGGATTCTCGCTGGAAGGAGGAAAAGATAGGATATGGGGTCACAAAGGCTATGCCTAATTAATTTACCCATTAAACCGTAAGTGTAAGTGTAAGTGACACAGGAAATGACATACCAGCTTGATATGGGCTAGATAAAACAGACAAAGAGGCTAAAATGATGTCACTGTTTAAAATTTATCATTTTTGGGTTTAAAGAAAACAAAAACAAATTGAGGCGGCCTCCAAAAAGGAAGCGGGCGGGGACGCTAAACATGTCTTTTTTAATTTGGTCTAATGAGGAATTGTAAAAAAATATAACAAACAATTTCATTCTCAAGGTGTAAGTGTATAAAAGATTCATGAATGAGCAATCCTGCCCCAAAAAACAATTCCACTTGAAAACACACCGCTGACAAATAAAACAACTTTTTGTTTGTTTTTCTTTTTTGCACAGGGAATCTTCTGTTGAAACATGTCCAAGTTCGACAAGCTTCCCAAGGTGCGAGATGCTGAGAAGGAGAGCCAGTATGGCTACGTGCACGCCGTCTCTGGCCCCGGTAAGTTACCGACTCCATACCTGAACAATAGAGGGCGGTATGTAACCCAGCAAGAAGAAGATCATGAAGAATTTCAATAAGATGGCACCCAAGTGACCCAACAACTATTTTTTTGAAAACATTTCAACTTCCAGTTCAAAGTTTGTGCCGTTCGTTCCTTCTTAACCCTAACCTTCCAAAATCCTCCAATATCCTGTTTGATAAATGGAGGATTTTGCAGGATTGAGGCTATGGCAAAAGTTTGTGGCTATGGTGTTTGTGCCCTTGGGCAAGACACTTAAAGAGGTTGTGGAATGCTCGAAGACATTTCCGTCATTTTTTGGGCATATGTAGCCTAAGGTGTGATGAAATAAAAACGACTATTGTTTCTGTCATGAAATGAGTACAAAGGTTACTTTTGAGAGCAATTTTTCAGGTCCTGTTTCGAGCCGAACGTGCAATTTGTGTAAAAGTCGTCGTTGCGGGCAGCAAACAAAACACAGTAAATCGTGACGTAATAAACAGGACTCGTTTATGCTACTCTGCATTGGGAATCCTGTTTATTACGTCACGATTTACTGTGTTTTGTTTGCTGCCCGCAACGACGACTTTTACACAAATTGCACGTTCGGCTCGAAACAGGCATGACAGGACTTGAAAAACAGCTCTCAAAAGTACCTTTTGTACTCATTTTATGACAGAAACAATAGTCGTTTTTATTTCATCACACCTTAGGCTACATATACCCAAAAAATGACGGAAATGTCTTCGAGCATTCCACAACCTCTTTAACTTCAATTGCAGGAGCATGAATGGGTACACACTGTACCAAACGTGCACTGATATCGGCTGCCGCGTGGTCCCATGGCCTGATGAACGGGGAATAATTGTAAAGCGCTTTGAGATTGTTCATACGATGGAATACTTTAACCCTAATAGAACTCATACACTCTTGTTTTACTATACTCTCGAGGACAATGCCTTGTGTTTCTCTTTGTCCCTGTAATATAACACTCTCCCATAAACTAAGCACACAAACTTACTACAGAGGACCGTTTCCAACAAAAGACCCAACTCCCAAGGACTGAAAGGATCTGTTGTTCTCCCTTCGTGTGTCGGTCCTCGGGGTTTTTATGTAGAACATGTACAACCCATCAGACCCAACGGCATGATTTGTTGGAATCTGTCAGGATGGGTACAGTACCCCTAAACTGACAGTCTTTTACATTGGGTTGGCACACCTCCAGAATCACAGTCAGAAAAATTTGTGTGTGCAGTTTCCTATATGGTGTTGGAATATGCCAGGATGGGTACAGGGTTTCATCTAGGATTTCCAAAACCGTGGTGCACTTTCAAAAGTACCCATCATACCATTCTCGTGCGATCCGATGATGGATGTACAAACATGTCTTGGGCGCATTCTGTGTAGTATTATTTGCGCGATGGACCGATAGCTAGCTGCGCAAAAGATACATATCTAGATAGATCACCAACTCATCCATGTTTTGTTGCGATTGATTGAGCGCGCAAAAAAAAAGACATATTCTGCTGCGCGATTGGGCTATCGCGCAAGCAAATCGACAGAGGGCGCTCGTTATACACTGGTGTCCGTGGTGCCGAGCACAAATGCGTAAAACGGTTGCGGGCACCAGCGCAGGCAAATTGGAGACATGGTGAAAAGATTCTACCCGTCATGTTTTATTGTCCATTTGGCAAAGTGCCTGTCCAAAATCACAAACTGCCCGTCTAAAAGACGGGTGGACGGTTTGCTAGATGCGACACATGGATGGGTATGGTTTCTAGTAAATCATGCTAGGGAGGTAGAGTTAAAAGCTATAGTCCATCATTTGTAATTAGTGCATTTTGTTCGTTTGAAGCATCAAAAGTGTTCAAAATCTAATGAAGGATACTGAGCAACTAACCTGATGAAGTTTCAGCTAAGCTTCAGCTGTACATTCCAAGAAAAGCAGCATTCTAAGATCTCAATTTCAAATCAAAAGTTACTGAATCATGTTTTGAATTGTTTTGAATTGCAGCTATACGCGGCGTCGCGCACTGATCCGACAAATTATAACAACCGCGCGCGCGTGTGTGTCTTTCCAATACTTGTGCGCGCTGCGCTGAATAACAAAACGAACTACTAATTTGAATTTTCCTACGGTGCTTCTTAAGAATCACCGTTGGAAATGCCTTCTTTCGTTGATTACTTCAAAATGACAGCTTGCCAGAAAGAATAATTTCACAGGGAGTTTAGTTCCCTTACTATCTTTCAACCAAGTTTGTTTTTCAACAGTAATTACGCCAGTTACTTTTCGGATGGCTGCAAATGATGGACTATAGCTTTAAATACAATGTTTATGTTTTTGTTTTGATGTAGTGGTTACGGCAGAGAAGATGGCAGGCGCTGCCATGTACGAGCTGGTGCGTGTGGGTCACAGCGAGCTGGTAGGAGAGATCATCCGATTGGAAGGGGACTTTGCCACCATCCAAGTCTACGAGGAAACCTGTATCCTTGACACACAGGACCTAAACCCTAACCCTTGGCCCTCCAAAATTAACTGAGCATTTGGAGGACGAGGCTGTATGCCTTGAAGTGCTGGTTGATTTTGGAGAATGGCATTTTGTCAAGATCTTAACTGAAAACGTTTTGCATAACATTGGTCGCTAGCGGTGAATCTTACATACATCAGGAGGCATCCATCCTGATATATGCAAATGATATATACATGACGTGAACCGTTCTGAATACCACCTCCTGAATTAAAAATCACAACTGTAACGTTGGCCCAAACCAGCCTATTGCAAAAAATGACAATAACCGCGTCACAAATGCTCAAATTTGGAATTTATGAGCTTCGATTTTCGAAAGTGTCTCTGGCAAATATTAATAAAGAGAGAGAAATCACTGTTCAGTATTTAAAACCTATGCATTTGGAATCCTTGAAAGTTACCTTCACGAAGACACTGATGATTTTGCTTACTTTTTGTGGTAAGACAAGAGTGACTGTTAAATGATCTTGTATTCAATCTCCGTCCATGCACTAGAGTTAAATAGCGATTTGAAAATGGACAATGAACAATTAAGAATGTGCATGTGCAGAGGTGATCCAACCAATATGGGCGATTCACAATGCAGTGTGCCACCAAGAGTTTGCCACGGAGAGGTCACGGTCGACAAAACATGGCCCATTTGAACGAGTGTCGGTAAAAAACTTGAGCTAATTTGTTATAGATTGGGGCAAAGCGTTCTGCTGCCTTACAAAAAACTCCAAAAAAAAAAAAAAAAAAAAAAGGGCAAACAGATACTCAAATCATACGCTTACAAACTTTCTGGCCGGAAAAACTAACAATTTCAAATGTCCCGCGCTGCGAATTTGTCTATCATCTCCCACAGTGCACTAAGAAAAAAGAACTCTCCGTAGCAAACTCTTGGTGGCGCTCTGCATTTAATGGGAGCTGGCTACCTGACCCCATATTTGTAGGAGGGTGGGAACAGTCGTTTGTAAAGCGGTCTCCAAGTTTCATTTTTTGTGACATGAAAGTGAATTTCATCGTTGTCCTTGACAAATTACCCAGCTGGTGTCAGTGTTGGCGACCCTGTACTGCGAACTGGGAAACCCCTCTCTGTTGAGATCGGACCGGGAATTCTGGGATCAATCTTTGACGGGATCCAGAGACCGTTGCGAGTACGTAAAGTTTAAACTCACCAGCCCGTCAAAAACCATTGCAATCATTGTATTCTAAGTCTGTTTTCAACGTCTCTAAAGGTGCCATAACCCTTAAGCCCTGTAATCAGTTGTTGCATACTGTTGCAGCCCTGTAATCAGTTGTTGCATATCGTTGCAGCCCTGTAATCAGTTGTTGCATACTGTTGCAGCCTTGTAATCAGTTGTTGCATATCGTTGCAGCCCTGTAATCAGTTGTTGCATACTGTTGCAGCTCTGTAATCAGTTGTTGCTTACTGTTGCAGCTCTGTAATCAGTTGTTGCATACTGTTGCAGCCCTGTAATCAGTTGTTGCTTACTGTTGCAGCCCTGTAATCAGTTGTTGCATACTGTTGCAGCCCTCTAATCAGTTGTTGCATACCATTGCAGCCCTGTAATCAGTTGTTGCATACTGTTGCAGCCCTGTAATCAGTTGTTGCATACTGTTGCAGCCCTGTAATCAGTTGTTGCATACTGTTGCAGTTAGCTGGCAACACAAGCCCGCGTGTTTCATTGCATCTTGTTGCAACAGGTTAACTGCTCATTGTGCCAGATTTTGAAAATAAGGTTTGAATTCCACTATATGGTTTGGATTTTGGAAATCAGTTACATGTATTCAAGAACATCCCCCAATGGGCTCCATATTCTCTGATTACTCACGAGGTATGTTTTCTTCTAACTACAACTTTGAATGCTTTGTTAATCGTTTATTTGTCATTTTGAATTTTTCAGGATATCAACGAACTGACCCAGAGCATCTACATTCCTCGTGGGATTAACGTGGCGGCTCTGAACCGCTCTCTGCAGTGGGATTATCAGGCATATCAGGGGATTAGGGTATGTCGGAATTAACCTGGATTAACGGAACCATGTATTGAAGTGGGATAAACTTGAATTAGTGGATATTTACATCAGGATAATCTTGGGTTAGTGGATTTTTAGGTGTGATTAACATGGATTAGTGGATATTTAGGTCATGATGATCGGGGATTAGTAGATATTTAGGTTGGAATTAACTTCGATTTATTGATAAGGATTGACTGGTCGTGGGCAAAATCGTATTAAAATTGGAGGATTCAGGGCTGTTAGGGTGGGGATATTTAAGTTGGTATTAATTTGGATTTTTGGATATTTAGGCTGGGATTATCTGGGATTAGTGGATTTTTAGATTAGGATTAACTGGATAATAAGAGGATATATTGTATATCTACATTGTGATAAAAATAATTATTATTGAAATTCAGAAGAAACATTTAAGCTGCCAATTTTATAAGAAAAAAAAATAAACAATTTGACTTGAACAGATTCTTTTTGAAGGCCCACCATTAGAAAGGAGCCCTTGTTTGAAAATGCAGCCATTTTGATTCTAGGATTCTTCATTTTTTATTGTAGGTGGGTAGTCACATAACAGGAGGGGATTTTTATGGAATCGTCCACGAGAACTCCCTCATTGAACACCGACTGATGCTCCCCCCGAAGTGTCGTGGAACGGTCAAGTGGATGGCGCCCCCTGGTAACTACAATATCACGGTAAGTATCCGAAAATTTCAGAGATTTTTTTATTTTCTCCCAACATAATAATACATATACTGGAGTCTTATATAGCGCAAGTATCTACCGACAAATAGGTACTCAAGGCACTGGAAATTATGTATATCATTAATATTATTATTAAAGTCAGGTAAATGAAGTTTATGAAAAATATGAGACCCATTATGTGGCACCTTATAAGGGTTTACAAGGTGCTGCGGCGCATATTGCAGCCACTGCCAGAAACACCGGGGCAAACCCCTTCTCTTAGCGATAATTGTTACTGGGTTCTTTAACATGCATTACACAACACACAGGACTTACGGCTTTACGTCCCATCCGAACGACAAAGCAATAATGGTAAAGTGCCTTGCTCAAGAGCACAAGCACCATGTTCCCATGGCCAGGATTCGAACCTTTATGTACCACGGCACACGAGGCGAACATCACCCCTGGTTTACATGTCTGACTTTGGAAAGCTAATGATTTTCTCTTTAATTGCACTTTTTGATCAGGATGTGATCTTAGAAACAGAGTTTGATGGAGACGTGACGAAGCATAGCATGCTGCAAGTTTGGCCTGTTAGACAGATGCGTCCCGTCTCAGAGAAACTTCCAGCCAACTACCCGCTACTGACTGGCCAGAGAGTTCTAGATGCTTTATTCCCGTAAGTTGTCAAATACTGTATGGAATCTGGTATACAAATAAAACATAGTTTGAGGGTTGATAGTATACAAATATTGACTGCTTCGAGTGGTGTAGTAAAACTAGCCTCCCGAGGTGATCCATGGACATTTCGCCGAGGGAAAATAGAATGCTCACGGATCACCGAGGGAGGCTAGTTTTACTTCACCATGAGCTAAAGCATTCAATATTTGTTTTATTACACTTCACCCACAGATTCTGCTTGGTTCTAATATTTGTAATTATTTAAATCTGAACACAGTTGAAATAAACTTCAATTTCAATAGAAAATGGGTGGAAAATGTATTTCTCTCTTCCAAGCTACCCCTTCACAAAATGTTTGAACCCAACTCTGCGGCGCGCTCTCTTTGGAACAAAACGCAGTACGCGCAACGCGCACACCAGCATGCATTTGCACACAAATTCAGCGCCGTGGATATAGTACTTTGGTTGCTAATGGTATAGTACTTTGGTTGCTACGGGTATAGTTCTTTTGGCCGTGCACAGAAAGATAGCAAAAATAGAAAGTATCATGTAACTTGCTCTCGGCCAATCAAGACACAGAATCTGTGGGTGAGGTGTTATATAATAAAAATTAGCTCCCCGAGGTATTAACATATTTGCCTGAGGAACTATAGTCTGTACCTTTCAATATTGAGGGGAGATAATATCAACTATCCTCCCACACTATTCACAACCGCCTATGCGCCAAGTCCACGATTGCTTCGAGCACATGCTTAACTCTTTCAGTGCCCGCGACATTTCAAAAGTTTAACCCGAAAGTGATTAACTTCGAGCGCTTTTTTTAATTGTTCACAATTCTGTAAAAAAAAGATTAATAAGTTTTACTTCCTAAATTTGTTATTGTTGCTCTGTGGTATATCCTTGGTACTTTGGAAAGTCAGTAGTAGTCACGCACATAGTGATACACCCTGAAACACTGTACTGCACACAGGGGAATTATATACAGGGAAATCTGTACTTTGTAAATGTTTTGATTCTTGTGTTTGTGTAGATGTGTGCAAGGCGGCACCACTGCCATCCCCGGTGCTTTCGGCTGCGGCAAGACCGTCATCTCCCAGTCGTTGTCCAAATACTCCAACAGCGACGTCATCGTCTACGTAGGATGCGGGGAGCGTGGCAACGAGATGTCTGAAGTACTCCGAGACTTTCCAGAGGTAAGGAGAGTTTTATTTCGGTAATGTTTTCATCTGAGACTGAAGACAAGAACTCAAAAATAATTAGTAATAATAAACAATTCAATTCTGATGTCAATCATGCACAGTGCTGTTATTTATTTATTTATTTATTGTCGGATGCATCACAAAGTGATGGATCATCTGTGGACTTTGTGCACACGGTATATCACTTCGTGGTGCGGCAACTATCCACAACACATCACTTTGTTGTGCGACAGACGATGTGGTAACAAACACAAATGCTTTGAGCAGCCATATGGAGGGAAACAAACGTTATTCAAAGAAAACTTCCAACTGAAAAACTTCCAACTCAAAAAAGCTTACAAACTCCTGAATTTTGTTTTCTGATAAAAAATCAATGCCATTTGGCATCATCTACAAATGTCAACATTCTCTTGCGCTACAAGAAAGTTCCGGCAAGGACTATGGTAAACGATCATTCAACTTTACTTCACGGGAACGAAGGATGGTTGGACTACTCTTGTTGATTATTTTGAACCGGTGTTTGGCACAATGGGGAGCCAGGACCAAGACATTTTGTGATGACGTTTTGAGCATCGTTTGACTAGAGGCGTTCGCATGTTGCTATGAGTAAGGCGTCAGTAACATCATGAATCAACCATGAGTCGACAAGTGGCCCCTGCCCAAACTTGCTCTACAATTAAACTTTGTATATTTCTTTTGATAGCTGACAGTTGAGATTGGAGGCAAGACGGAGTCCATCATGAAGCGAACAACTCTAGTAGCCAACACCTCCAATATGCCAGTGGCTGCCAGAGAGGCCTCAATCTACACAGGTATGTACGACATACGTTGAGCTATTTGTTGGCCACTTGTTTTGGTGGCCAGGTTAATGGCCAGTTTAATTACCAGTTTGATGGCCAGCTTTTGGTGATCCTTTTTTTCTTTCTTTTTTTCCAGTTTGATGGCCAATTGTTTTGGCCAGTTTGTTGTTTTGGCCAGTTTTTGTTTAGCCATTTTTTGGCCAGTTTGATGGCCAGTTTGAAGGCCATTTTGATGGCACATTTAATGGCCAGCTTTCGGCTGGTTTGGTGATCATTTTTTCTTCTTTTTTTGCCAGTTTGATGGCAATTTTTTTTGGCCAGTTTGTTGTTGGCCAGTTTTTGTTTAGCCATTTTTTTTTGCCAGTTTGATGGCCAGTTTGTAGGCCATTTTGATGGCACATTTAATGGCAAGTTTGATGGGTAGTTTAATTGCCAGTTTGATGGAAAGTTTGATGGCTAGTTTAATGGCCACTTTGATGACTATTTTTTGGTGGCCATATTGATGGCCAGTGTGGTATGAAAGCCATTTGTTGGCCGTGTAGCACAGTGTCAGTTAGACAAAAACCAGCGCCCATTATTCAAATAGTTTGGCCACAAAACAATCAACATTATCTACATGTAAATATGCATCATTACCCGATTGGAGGCCAGTTTACCAGCCACTGGTATAGTAGTCTAATCAGACATAAAGGCCATGTCGCAATCAAGAGTGCGTTGGTGAATACCATGAGTAGTATATGATTATAATGTTTTTCCGTCTTGCACCCTTCTGACTTCAGGCATCACCTTGGCCGAGTACTTCCGTGACATGGGCTACAATGTCTCCATGATGGCGGACTCCACCTCTCGATGGGCCGAAGCTCTTAGAGAGATCTCTGGCCGATTGGCTGAAATGCCTGCTGGTAAGCCTCCTTATTTTTGCCATTTTTCCAGATATTCAAGGCAATCAAGAGTCGGTTTTTGTCAGATCGTGGTTATCTTGTTTGGCTATCCAGCTGAACTTCTTGCATTCTAGAATAGGTTTAGCAATTATCTTCCATACTTTCAACATACCGGTATAATTACCTATCCAGCTTATCTTACATGTCTCAGTACTTAGCTCTTGTCTCTAATCCTTGTGTTTTGTCGATATTGTATATATATCTGACTTTCTGACTTTCCTATGATATGTGATATATCATCATTAATCCTTTTGTTGTGTAGATATTGTTTATCCAGCTTTGCTTGGTGCTATGATATATAAGATCGTTTCGTCTTTAATTGTCAGATAGTTGTCAAGCTTTCTTTCATAGCATGGTTTTGACTTTAGCGAAAGCAAGCTTACCAAATGCTAGTCAAAACAGGGGTGGGCTGTTTAGGTCTAGTGAAACAGGCATGCAACTTTTCCTCGGATCAGCTGATTTTTTTTTTTTTTTTTACATCCCATGTGTGCCAATGAAAATAGAAAAACACTGTACTAATTCCGGGAAAATTTTTAATATCCTTTTTTTTTTTGATTTCCCAGTTGCATGCCTGGTCAAACTATTTCTATGTAGCCCGGCTGGCGAGTCAAAAATTATTGGGCTAAGGCAAATATGAAAGGACAGAAAAAAAATACTAATTAAATTCAGAAAGCAAACCTGTGTCAATATGTGTCTAATTTTATTCACTGCTTAGGGTCAAATTATAAGATCTGTTTATTAAAAACACTGACAAGATTGCCTCAGGATACACATTTTACTTGTATGCATATTGTTGTTTAGGCCAAAAAAAAAATCTCTGGTTTCTGGTATGCGCGCGCGTCGCCGTAGCCATGCGCGTCGCCAAAATGAAAAAGGTTTTTTTTCAATGAAAGATGATGTCTCAAAACCGCCAAACTCACTGGTTTGACTGGAATCCTGCTACTGCACAATTTTAACGTGTTTTTAGATGGGGTTATGATCGAGAATAAGCTTTATGTGGCCTCTCTGGACTCCCATATATTTGCACTATTGTCGGGCACCATTTGCAGTCATCAGCCGACATTTGAAGCAAAAAAGTCAGCAAAAAAAAAAAAAAAAAAACGCGTCGCCGCACCACTTTTTGGACAAGCTTATAAAAGAAAAACATCCAGAATAGTGAAAATGCCTGCTGGCTAGTTAAGAGTCAAATTCCGTAGCCCAGCTGGCTAGTGAAAAAAGTGAAGGCCAAACCCTGGATAGTGCTCAGCAATAAGTCTGTTTGGTATCTTAATGAAGTTGTCTGGGCCAAAAGCATCAAGCATCATCTTGTTACTGTGATACATTACACAAACACCCATTCTGCTGGTAATTAACGCACAAGCGTCGAGCGAAGGCCTCTTTGCATGTTCATGGGCCATCGGTGATCATTTGACTATACCAAATTAGCTGTGACCATATCATTGTGTGCATGCGTAGTTGAAATACCAAACTGGCTTATATTATATCTGATCCTTCCATATTCCAGACATTGGTCATCCAGCTATGTACCTTGTTGCTGAGTTACTATCTAGCTAAACACTGTCTTGCTGCTTTAACCCTAACCGCCCTGAATCCTTCAAAATCCTCTTTGCCAAAGTGGAGGAATTTGGAGGATTGAAGTTACATGGCAAAAGTGCGTTACTGATTTCATAGGATGCGCTTTGTCAAGGTCTTGGGCCGGACCTTGTGTTGTTTTTGCTCAGCCATGCATAAATATAGGCCTGCATTATGCTGGAAATCCTCCGTACTGCTCCAGGATGTCACTGGCCAAGCCTTAACATATTGACAGTCACTACCGCGGGATTTTGCAGGATTCAGGCAGTGGTCACCCCTCCACGGACCATATTCAAGAAATAATGAAGGAATTTGCAGGATTGAGGCTATATGCTATTTTTCCATGAGGCCAATTGGAGGATTTTTGCAGGATTGAGGCTACATCCTAGCAAAAAGGCCTAGCGAGTTAGAGTTAATAGCTGAATGACATCCTTCTGTCTTGCAGACATTGGTCATCCAGCTTATCTATGTACATGTACCTTATTGCTGAGTTATCTAGCTAAACCCTGTCTTGCTGCTTAGCAGATAGCTCAATGACATCCTTCTGTCTTGCAGACATAGGTCATCCAGCTTATCTATGTACATGTACCTTGTTGCCGAGTTATCTTACTAAACCCTGTCTTGCTGCTTAGCTGTTAGCTCAATGACATCCTTCTGTCTTGCAGACATTGGTCATCCAGCTTATCTGTGTACATGTACCTTGTTGCCGAGTTATCTTACTAAACCCTGTCTTGCTGCTTAGCAGATAGCTCAATGACATCCTTCTGTCTTGCAGACATGGGTCATCCAGCTTATCTATGTACATGTACCTTGTTGCCGAGTTATCTAGCTGAACCCTGTCTTGCTGCTTAGCAGTTAGCTCAATGCCATCCTTCTGTCTTGCAGATAGTGGCTATCCAGCTTATCTCGGGGCTCGTCTGGCGTCCTTCTACGAGAGAGCTGGCCGAGTCAAATGCCTGGGCAACCCAAGCAGAGAGGGTAGTGTCAGCATCGTAGGGGCGTAAGTAACTGTTAAAGGGAAAATACAACATTTGCAAACATCAAAAAATAAAACAACCAAATCATTTTGAAATACTTTGCTGGACTGTTAGTGAATGACAGTGTAAAGCATCCTGTAAAATCAAGGCACCTGGTATACTGTCATTTTCAAGAAAAATGGTAATTTTGAATCAATTTCCAATGCTGATCGGCCGACCAGCGTTGGAAAAAACTGGTTTTTTTCAAGTACTGGCCCCAATTGACCATCGCACTTGTTTGCAATCGATTACACACCTATGAACGGGTACAAGCCAGCTAGACTGGTTCCCTGACCTTACAATTCCCCAATGTGTGTAAACTGCTCTGTTTCTTCTTAAATGGAGTCAGGGAACCAGACTACAGGAAAATGATGGTTTTTCTTGGTTTTTATAGCATTTTTGAACCCAAAACCTCAAAGAAGTCAGTGTAACTACAGTTGCTATATATTTCCAACCTCCCAATTCCATCCATTTCTGAAAATTACAGCAAAAGCAAATGATGTTTATTCCCTTTAACATTTTGGGGACAGGTTTCTGATGAATAAGAATAAGGAAAACTTGATTGTAGTGTACAAATATAGAATAGTTGGAGGGAAAACAGAGCACATCAGTAAACCTGGTTCACATCATTGAAACCGTATTTCCCGTGTATTGTACAGTGTGTCTCCCCCCGGTGGTGACTTCTCCGACCCCGTAACCACGGCGACTCTAGGCATCGTCCAGGTCTTCTGGGGTCTGGACAAGAAGCTAGCCCAGCGAAAGCACTTCCCCTCCATCAACTGGCTCATCAGCTACTCCAAGTACATGAGAGTGCTAGACGACTTCTACGATAAGAACTACACAGAGTTTGTGCCGCTCAGGACTAAGGTGAGTGTCTCAGCTGTAAATTCTCCTGATTTTTAACCAGTTCGCGTCGGAGGACGTGTTAACACGCACTGGTCATTTTTATACATAGGCACGGTTGATAGGTTAAAACGTCAAGCGTGCCTCGACTTACCTTTGAGTGACGTCTAAACACGCTAATCTCTTTTGTCTTTTGTACACACACACACAAAGTCTGTGGAGGTGGACCGTGTGCTTTGTACCGGATGTCAGTTCATAAAAACCAAAAAAACGCGGTCACTCACGTGCAACTGAGTGTCAGTTCATGGCATCGGTGACGATGTTTTGCTTGTTGTGCAACCTTTGACCTTTTAACCTTATGAATATGCATGAACAAGTCAAGGAGATTTTTCATCAGGAGGAAGATCTGTCTGAGATTGTGCAGCTTGTCGGGAAGGCATTTTACTTTGCTATGCAAATGTTTGACCTTTCCATTTTATGAATATGCATGAACAGGTCAAGGAGATTCTTCAGGAGGAGGAAGACCTGTCTGAGATTGTGCAGCTTGTCGGGAAGGCATCCCTGGCCGAGTCTGATAAGATCACGCTGGAGGTTGCCAAGCTTCTCAAGGATGACTACCTCCAACAAAATGGCTACACGCCTTACGACAGGTCGGTATTTAAAGACAGTAGGTCTTGATGCATACCCAGATAAGCCATACATGTGTAGGATTGAGAGTTATCAGGTTTTTTCCTTCGGAATTTAGGACTTTTTGTACAGATTTTTCCTAAGTTCAGGATTTTCAAATAATCCCCTTTTTAGGCCATTAGCCTGGGGGTTTGGTCGGTATCAAATCGGTGCATAAATAACTAAAGTGCGCATGCGCAAGGCATACTGCCCCTAGAGTGGTAACAAGCATTTAGATGGACATTTTTCCTAAGTTCAGGATTTTCAAATAATCCCCTTTTTAGGCCATTAGCCTGGGGGTTTGGTCGGTATCAAATCGGTGCATAAATAACTAAAGTGCGCATGCGCAAGGCATACTGCCCCTAGAGTGGTAACAAGCATTTAGATGGACATTTTGGAAAAATAGGTGATAACACCTAAAACGCTGCATTGCTGCAATGCTATCACATATTTTCTAACTCGGGAGGTGTATACCTTGCCAAAAATCGCTGTGACGATTATTCCCCTCGTTTGATACCGTTGGCCAAAATTTTGGACCGAGGCTGATGGCCTATTTGAAATCTGGAGAACACAGTGAATGTGTTCTCTACCTGGAAAAGTTTATCAAAAATTGGTATTGTAAGGGGTGCCATTTGGCAAATACAAACAATTAGCGGAATCCGGCGACCAGAATCAGAAGTTGTTACTGTGGTGGTGCTACGTTCATGCAAATGCTGCAAACGTTCTTAAAGGGAAAATACAACATTTGCAAACAGCGAAAAATAAAACTACCAAGGTGTTACGAAATACCTTACTAGGATGTTGGTAAATGACAGTCTAAAGCATCTTGTAAAATTAGGGCACCTGGTGTGAGGTCATTTTCAAGAAAAAGTGTCCTTTTGTATACATTTCCAACGTTGGTCGGCCGGCCACCGTTGGAAAAACCTAACTGTTTTTCAACTACTGATCTAAATTTACCGGGTTTTTTTTTTTTTCAGTCCAAATTTTGTTTGCTATTGGTTCCATGTTCATGAACGGGTGCAGGCCAGCTAGACTGGTTCCCTTACCTTACAATTTTCCCGCATTTTTTGATCCGTTTCATTTTTTAGTGGAGTCAGGGAACCAGACTACTTGAATATTTTTGTTTTTTCTTGGTTTTCCAGCATTTTCGAACACAAAACTTCAAACACGTCAGTGTAACAATATTTGAACTATTATACTAACTCCCCCAAATAGTTCATTTTTGAAAATTACAGCAAAAGCCAATAATGTACATTCCCTTTAACGACATTTTGGTACACTAAAACTATTGGTCGAAGGAGCTATCGTGGCCTCAATTTGAGTGCATTAATAGGTAGACCATTTTTATATGTGCCAACCGGACAACTACCGTTGACTCCCATTACAAACACAGCCAGACCTATCAAGTTATTTGTTATGGCACATTCAGGATCAAGGCTCTACGTTCACTGTAACCAGAATTTTGTTGTGACAGTGTATTGATGAGAGTTAAGTTAAGGAGAATACATAAGACAGTGTGGATTCGTAAAGCGCCGAGTGAATTCATAAATTAACAATCCACACTTGCGAGTGTATTCTTCGACTTAAACCATTGCGTCAAAAAAAGTATTGTCATTAACAGTGAGTGGAGATGAAAAGACTTGCATATATCACATGTCGAGTTGTGGCCATTGGGTAATTTACAAGGGAGGTTTTTTTAGTCTATACATCATGTATACGTAATCAAGCATTGTGGCGTGTTAAGCATGTATCGCCACACCCGTACAGTCAAGTCATTTTGTGTGTAGCTCCTTCCGTCAACATGGAAAGTTCAGACGACAATTTCTTTTTGACTCAAAGTAGTTTTTGCAGTGACGGCGGAGAATCTGACAGTGAAGATGCGTTGTTAATTTTCGAAAGGAAAGTTTCCATGCATACGGTCCTGTTAATGCTCATTATGGAGAACACGGTCCGACGACGTGTTCAAAGTTTGGATTTGTAATTCTGAATCCACACTTTACTAAAGATTTGTTGTTCCGAATCCACACTTTGTGACCAGTGTATTAACAGATACACCGAATCACACTTTTAACAATAGTGCGACGTCATAGCAATGGTTTAACTGTCATGGATTTTCTGATCTGCAGGTATTGTCCGTTCTACAAGACGGTAGGCATGCTGCAGAACATCATCTTGTTCTACGATCTTGCCAGGCACGCAGTGGAGACCACCGCCCAGTCTGAGAACAAAATCACCTGGGCCATCATCCGCGAGAACATGGGCGACATCATGTACCAACTCAGTAGCATGAAGTTTAAGGTAAGGCAGCAAATAGATCCAGGTGCTGATTTCACAAAACTTGTCTTATCTTACAACTTGTCTCACGACTTAGGATGAGTCCCCGCTCTAAGATCAATCTTAGCTAAGATGCTTTCTAGGATCAATTTCATCTTAAGCAAGACGCATCAAAATTACCTATTTAATAGCTATTCCATTTCTGTTTTTACCACTTGACATAACAGTCATTGAAAAGAAATGCGCAAAACCAATTTCTCCTCACGAAATTTAGCCAGAAAAATAACTCTACTCAATAATTTTCACATGCGAGGTAGTTGTACACAAGATGTGACGCATCAAAACTACCAACTCAATAGCTATTTCATGTTTGTTTTTACCGATTGACAAAAACAGTTGTTGAAAAGAAATGCGCAGAACCAATTCCCCCACATAAACTTTAGTTTGAAAAATTACTCAACTCAATCATTTTCACATGCAAAGTAGTTCTACACTAGATACGATGCATCAAAACTACCAATTCAATAGCTATTCCATGTTTGCTTTTACTGCTTGATGAAACAGTCGTTGAAAAGAAAAATGGGCAAAACCAATTTCCCCTCACCAAGTTTAGCCCAAAAATCAATCAATTTCACTTGCATTTTGAAATGCATCAAAACTGCCAATTCAATAGTTATTTCTTCTTCTTTTTTACCAATTGACCAAACAGTCATTGAAAAGAAACGCGCAAAACCAATTTTCCCTCATGAACTTTAGCCAGAAAAATTACTCTTAAAAATCAATTTCACATGCATTTTTCAATGCATCAAAACTACCAATTCAATAGCTATTAGTTTTTAACACTTGACTAAACAGTTGTTAAAAAAGAAACGCGCAAAACAAATTTCCCCACATGAAGTTTAGCCAAAAAATTGCTCTACTCAAACCAGTTCATACGCAAGGTATTCTTCACAAGATGCGATAGAGTCATTCTTGCTCCCCGTTTCATTACTCTATTTTTTTTGCTCGTGCTTTTTCTGCTCATACCCCTTAGAAATTATTAATTTAAACTGGGAAAGTTTTCCCACGAATGTTTACAAGTACTTTGCCACAAGCAGGAGATAGTTTTGCTTGCAAGTTCGATGAAGAGTACATTTTCACAAGAATTAATAGAAAAGCGAGTGTGAAAAAATGATTTCGTATGAGTACTGCAATGCTTTGTTAGCACGAACAACAGCTAGAAGCCCGCCATAAGTGAAAGTAGTACATTGCACATGTGTACGGTATGAAATGACGGAGCCATGCAGCTTAAGTTTTTGAAACAGAAATATTTAAGAGGTAACTGAAGAGCTGTTTGATTTTTGGTCCAAATACCTTTGTTTATTTAAAAAATAACTTTTTCTTCAGCAATAATAACAAAATATACTGATAATTTTCTAATTTGCCTTTCGTACAGTTTATGTGTATTGATTATTACATTTTTGTAAGAAGTTTTTGTATGAGCTTCACAAGAAAATGAACAATCTTTTGTTTATTTTCATGTTCTGTTAAGTTTTGTAAATTATTGTCCATTTTCTGTAGTGTGGACAACTTGTCACGTTACAGCATGCTTTTTCCATGTGTTTTAATAAAAAGGCTAAAGTAAATACATTTCTTTTTCAATTGTTTTCCTTAAATAATTGCAGGATCCGGTCAAAGACGGTGAAGCCAAGATCAAGGCAGACTTCAATGAACTCGCCGAAAATATGCAGACTCAATTCCGAAACCTAGAAGACTAACTCCCTTCTCTCCTAGGAACAATAGCTATAAATATATCCTAAAGACATGTTAATAATAATATAGTACTCTTATGAGATATTGTGATGTTATAGCACTTTTAATGCAAGGTACAGCATTGAGTTGGAAAAACCTAAACTTATGCTCCAATGATTATGTAAACGAGTTACATAATCAATGAAACGTAGGTTTTAACTAAATATTGATTGGCAAAGAACAATAGGCAAGTTGGCCAACAGAGAGATTGCTGGCATGTTAATTTCCTTTCATCCACTTTGCTGTAAATTGGACCACATTGACATAGCATTCCTTCCAATTAACTGTCTATATCTCTGGATGTAGGTGTCAGAAACAGACAATGAAAAAAACATTGTGTTGAGAAATAATCATTCTTTAAAGGTATAGTCCATCATTTGTAATTTGTGCATTTTGTTCGTTTGAAGCAACAAAAGTGCTCAAGATCTAAAGAAGGGTGCTGAACAACTAACCTGATGAAGTTTCAGCTCAGCTTCAGCTGTATATTTCGAGACAAACGACATTCTAGGATCTCGATTTCAAATCAAAAGTTGCTGAATCAGGTTTTGAATTGGGCTTGAATTCAGCGTCCGAGACATGTTCTCACTGAGCCGATTGCAGCTACGCAATGTCGTGCACTGGTCCGACGAATTATAGCAACCGCGCGCGTGTGAATCGTGCTAATGCTTGCGCGCGCTTCACCGAATAACGAAACGAGCTTCTAATTTCCTAAGGTGCATCTTAAGAAGCACTGTTGGAAAGGCCTTCTTTTGTTGATTTCTATAAAATGACAGCTTGCCAGAAAGAATAATTTCACAGGGAGTTAAGTCCCCTTACTCTCTTTCAATCAAGTATAACATTCAACAATAATACGCCAGTTGCTTTTTGGATAGCTGCAAATGATGGACTCTGGCTTTAAGTATGGTATAAGTTATGAAACAAAATAGGAGCTAGTATTTTCAATATTTTTTTTCTCTTAATGTATAATGTTTTTATACACTGTATCGTGAAAATACATGAAAACAAATTCGGAACCAGGAACAAGGAGTGAACAATTCTGTTTGCATAGTTGTAAATAGCATTGTTTACAACAAAATTAACAGGAATAATAATTAGCAATTCAAAAAGAACAAATCGAAAGTCTGTACAGACTTTCAATTTTTTGAGACCCCACAGAATAAGGTCTCCAATATTTCCACAGAAAGCCTGATATTAACTCGCCATTAATTTACATTCCATCTTTAAAAGGCCTATACTATAGATAAATATTCCACAGTATTTTGACGACTGATATCTTCAAGTGCTATAACATTTCAATATTAACAGTACTGGAGTATCTGACCATTGGTGTATATTTTTCCTGCTGAAGATCTATATTGTGTCCTGTCAAACAGTGTCTGTAAAGGGAAGTGTGAAATCTAGGTTAGTTTTGAGAACAAACTTAATTGTCTTTGTTCCTTCTTAGTCTTTTGTTTGTTTGAAGAGTGATTCCTCCTAGACAGCTCGGAGTCATTTACCAGACTGAAGTCAAGCCTGTCATGCCAATAATACTCTCGACCAAAAAAGAAAGTACCCCCGTAATACTTTTTTGTCTAACTCAATAACTACTGGGCACATCTTGCTCAAATTACGACTGATCAGTACAGAAATTCCTTAGCAATCCAGCCATACTCTTTGTTTGGCCCAAAACAGTGATAATGTGTACAAAATTATGCAATTGATGACAAACGGTACTGAAAAACAGTGGCACTTTTGTAAACGTGCAAGGCGAGTGTGAACCACAACTTGCACGTATACAAAAGTGCAACTGTTTTCGGTACCATTTGTCAGAAATTGCATAAATTCGTACACATTATCACTGTTTTGGGCCAAATGAAGAGTATGGCTGGATCGCTAAGGAATTTCTGTACTGATCAGTCGTTATTTGAGCGAAAGGTGCTCAGTATTTTTGAGTTAGACAAAAAAGTATCGGAAGAGGGGGACTTTCTTTTTTGGGTTGAGTGCATATTGCTCATTTGCAGTGTTTTTTGCTTAGGGCTCGTCCATTAGACCTTCATCATGCTGCTGAAGCAAAGGTTGTGAAAAGTCTTATACTACGTTTTGAATACTAGGGATCCTAGTTCATTTTATATGGGAAGCACATTTCTTTACGTAGCTATTGACATTGCGACATACTTCAAATCCACCAGGTAGTTGTAAGGATTTGATGTCTCTTCCTTTATTAATTGAAGAATTTGGAGGAATTTGGATTTTATTGAAGGTTTATGCAAAAAGCGGAAAGATTTCCATATCTGGCCATCACTTGTCACCCTGTGTACAAGCCCTATGAGACTGATCTGAACATTTCTAAGTGTTTTCTCGGTAAATACTTCAATATTTTCCCTGCTAAATTTGACTGCTTATGACATACATGTACTATCACTTTCTGATGGCTCATAGGTCACCGAAGGGAAAAATGAGTGATGGCCAGATATGGGAATCTTTCCCCAAAAACTCCCTTTCGAGTTGATAACGTAAATATCTATTTCTGAATCTAATCTGCTTCCATGATTTCTTGTTTTATCTTTTAGTATCTGTTTTTGAAGAAACTGTTCACTTTCGATTTCTTTTCTCATTTCTTTGTCTCTTCAGTGAAATATTTATTTATTTGTTGACTCATGGCGCCCACAAAATAAAGTGTTTTATAACAAGTAATATATGCAATAATAAAACTGAAGGACAAACGATGTGCAAGGATACTGCTGATCCTGCTGTATAATCTATAAAATTCATATATTTCCGACACCATTATAAACTTGAAGAAATTTGTTTTTGATCTTTTAAGTCACTAATTAGATGGTCACATTCATTTGTTGTGATTGGACAAATCTTTATTACTGATATACCTGACATTTATTTGTGTATTTGGTGAATAGCCTATGTAGCCTGTGGGCCACAATTAATTTAAATTCTTTATGGCAATTTTTTTTTATCTAAAATTGTGTTGTCAGAATACATTGGAGGTAAAAAATGTGTTCTTTACAGTATTAGTTGTTAATGTGTACTCTTCAAATTATGTGTAATAATCGTAAATGATGATAGTTTTAGCAAATAAAGTGTACATTGTGTCGGAAATTATGTTTTGAAATTCGTTTTATTGAGGTTGCATATGCCTAGGAAAGTGGTTGTATACCTAGCTAAATTGATGAAGCCTTTTGACTCTACCTTTGCCAAACTTCAATTCCTAAGACTATTGCATTTATCAAACAACAAATTGAACATAAGCACAGGTACAGGTGAACACCAAAACACCCTAATTTGACGAAGTTGTGGGTATAAACTAATTATAACCGTATTTTGGTTCGGGATTGATACTTGGGGAATGTACATCATTGGCTTTTGCTGTAATTTTCAGAAATGAACTATTTGAGGGTTAGTATAATAGATAAAATATTGTTACACTGACATGTTTGAAGTTTTGTGTTCGAAAATGCTGGAAAAACCAAGAAAAACAAAAATGTTCCAGTAGTCTGGTTCCCTGACTCCACTAAAGATAAAATGGATCCATTTATAGATGCCGGAAAATTGTAAGGTAAGGGAACCAGTTTAGCTGACCTGCACCCGTTCATGAACATGAAACCAATAAGCAAACAAAATTTGGACTGAAGAAATGGTGAATTTTGAGCAGTAGTTGCTAAATAGTTGGGTTTTTTCAACGGTGGTCAGCCGACCACTGTTAGAAATGTATACAAAAATACCATTTTCTTGAAAATGACTTCACACCAGGTGCCATAATTTTACAGGATGCTTTAGACTGTCATTTACCAACATCATAGCAAGGTATTTCGTAAAAACTTGGTAGTTTTATTTTTCGATGTTTGCAAATGTTATATATTCCCTTTAACCACATAGGGGCCTAACCCACTTTTTCTATACCAAGCAAATCGGGCAAGGTGTGTAATTCAGTCAAAGTTTCAGTTCAGTTAGACGGAAACATGATATAACACATTGCTATTGGAATAACTAAAATGTATCCACTCAACCAATAATAAGCATAAGTAAGATTTGAGGCTTTGCATGGTGGAAATACTAAATAATGAAAGGTTTGCGAAAACACCATGCGAATAATTTCTCAACTAAGAGAATGGTTCTGAAAAGAACCAGAGGTATAAATAAGCAGCAAGAGTAGGCGGGTTCACATGATTTTAATACCCGACATCATCAGAAGTACATGAAGTGACACATGATTCACAATTTTTTTTTTTTAATTGAAATGAAACTTTAAACTAATAGGGCTCTCTTGCAAACCCACGTGACCCAGCCTACGTTCTTCCGGGTGCCGGAAAGTCAGCGTCGCCATTTCCGGGCATATCTGACATCGATTTGTTATTATTACAAAATGTATTTTAAACTCTTGATATTAATCTTGCGAAGCAATTTGTTTTGAGGGGGGGGGGAGGTGGGGTGGGGTGGGGTTGGGGGGTAAATTCTATAGCTTTTGATTAGTAATAATAATAATAATCAGCATTTAAGAACGCTGCTATTAGTAAACTAATTCACAACGCTTACAGTGTTACCCCTTATTACATTTGCCTCATTTATTATTTTTTTTGGGGGGGGGGGGGGGTTGGGGTTAACTTTTTGATAGCTATAGCTTGAATTGTAATAATTAGTTTGTGGACACCATATGCAGCACCTAATGAACCAAACAAACGGCACCTATATGTATAGTGTCTTCTTGTAAAATAATAGTGAGATTGATTGGTATCTGAAATATCCAGTTGAAATATCTCTACAACTCTTTTTATTCCCCCATTTTGAAAATTGACCCCCCCCCCCCCGCTTTGCGCAAAACAGCATGCACCGCACATAAGTCAGGTGGCTTAGATCTAATTTTCGTCAAGATCGTGACCGACTGGTCCAAAGCACCAAACTTGGCAGATATATTCTTATAGACCTAGAGAAGATATTTAGAAGGGGTGACACCTGAAATTCTTTTGGGAAGGGTGCCTAATTTGCATAAATCGTTAATCCCTGTCGTGTAATATATTTATTCCCATATTTGGGTATATTTCCATTTTTTATTTTTTTGAAAAGTGTATTTTGGGGATTCTAGTTACATATCTTTACTTAAATAACATTTTCCAAAGCATATAAGTGACTGAATAGTTATGAGGACATAGTAACGATCCAAAATGGCTACTATTATGCCCTAAAATTGCGCACATTTACCTTGTCTCCAGATATCATCAATTAGTCTTGCCAAACATTAGCATTGATGAACTTCAAATTCACCAAGTAGCTTACTGGTACAGCTACCCTATTAAAACCTTATGCAAAATCATGTGAACAATGATAACATTGTGATATTAAGCCCAGAAAACAAAAACTGGGAAAAACGAGGTGTCCATAAATTAGGCTAACAAGTAGGTGAAGGGTTGCCTAACATGGAACACTGGAACAAGTTCAAGGAAATTCCCCTAATTATTGTTGAGAAAACGTTTTGGCGTAGACAAAATTATTGTAAACAATAATAATCTCTTATTTAGGGGGATTTTGTTGAACTTGTTTAAGTCCCCACGTTACCCTTCCCGTATTAGCCCAATTTACGGACACCACATTTTCTCCCCTTTTTTGGTCTTTTGGGCTAAACATCACGATGTTATCAATTTTCACTTGATTTCCCACTTATTTTTGTTATGGTAACTTTGCCAGTAAGTAACTTTGTTAATTTGAAGCTCATCAATACCCACGTTCGGCGAGACTAGTTGATGATATCTGAGGAAAAGGTAAATGCGCGTAACTTTAGGGTAAAATAGTAGCAATTTTGGTTCTTTACTATGTCCTCCTAATTATTCAGTCACTTATATGTTTTACAAAATGTTTTGAAGTAAGAATATGCAAGTAGAATCACCAAAATACACTTTTCAAAAAATAAAAATATAAAAATATACCCAAATATGGGAATAAATATATTACACGGCAGGGATTAACGATTTATGCAAATAAGGCACCCTTCCCAAAAGAATTTCAGGTGTCACCCCTTCTAAATATCTTCTCTAGGGCTATAAGAATCTATCTGCCAAGTTTGGTGCTTTGGACCAGTCGGTCACGATTCCGACCATATGCCACCTGACTAAATTTCACGCGCGTGCGCATGCGCACTTCCTCGGTCTGGTACTGGTCGTCGTGGTTTTATTTGCGGGATAGATGAAGCGTTTTTAAGCCTGAAATATCTCCTTTTAACCTGTGCATCCTGTCATAGTAACCAGAGAATGTTGTTCTCCAACACTCCAAGAAACATTTTAGCTTAGAATTTGTTGCCTACGGAGTACTATAATGATGTTTTTGGAGCCGCGAAAATCTTGAATGGACAAAAGTTAAAACGAACGTGGCAGCAATGGCGGAGATGTGTGTACATGTGCATTCAACCAGGCTTGGCCGGGTGAGTTCAGTTTTGTTTTTAGGGATACGGAGGATTTTGACATTATACCTGCCATGTCAGGAACATAGAAACCTTAAAAACAACCTTGTCGTTTGTATAAAGAAATAAATGTGGAAACATTTGTAGTATATCCACATACTAGCCCCACAAAAATGTGGCCAATTTACTAGCAGACCTCCGTAAATAAAGGCCACACTTGGAACATGTACCCGAATAGAACTTTGTCAAGTCTTGATTTTCATATTTAGACTTTGTTTGTAGTTTATTTATGCTTAAGAAGCACTCACCCTCTTTATAGCGATAGAAAAAAAGTTCGGTATTTCTCACACATCTATTTTTCAAGTAAATTCCAGGTTCGTTTGCACACATTTGCGTATCTAAATAGGCCAACACGAAATTACAAAAAAAAAAATAGACGTGTACACTTGCCTCACATTTAACCTCACAACTGAACAGCCAGCTGGTCACCACTCACCTTGTACTAAGTGTATCATAACCAGTTCATAATTATCAATTTGTCTTAACTTTTAGTTCATTATCACTGGCTAATTAATTAACGTTATTTTCAAGTTGTCAGGTTTATCGCTCCTGTAAATTTATCAATCCTCGTAAATTGCACTCCACATTTATTAATGCACTACTCATCGCTTATTATCCATTTTCATAATGTGCCTGTATAACCTAGATGCTGAATTACCCATTCGCCTTAATATTTAATTGATTAGATTTTATCGCTCTGTAATTATCAACGATACCTTTTGAAGTTTAACCTTTATCTTTCCTGTATAATTATCAATCTTCATCTACATGTATACACTAACAATACATGTATACTTTAACAATTATTAACAAATTATTGCAGAGTAATGGGTCTAGCCAATATCTGTGCTTATCTGTAATCTATGATACATTAACTCACTCCTCCAAAATCCTCCTGGCGGTTTTGGAGGATTCTAGAGGATTGAGGATGAATGGTGATTGAATCAAATGAGGATTCTGGAGGATTGAGGATGAATGGTGATTGAAGCACATGAGGATTTTGGAGGATTGAGGATGAATGGTAAATGAAGCACAAGAGGATTTTGGAGGATTGAGGATGAATGCATTTTAAGGCAGGACTGTCTGATGATTTTGAAGGATTTGGCGTTGGTTATCCTTCATTTAAACACGAGTGCAAAGTTTTGGGATGAGGAGGATTTTGGAGGATTGAGGATGAATGCATTTTGAGGCAGGACTGTCTGACAATTTTGAAAAATTTAGGCAGAGTTGAAAAATTTTGGAGGATTTTGGAGGATTGAGGATGGTTGTAAGCAACAAGGGCCCAGGGGGTTAGGGTTAATTTTCTTTTTGCTGGAACACAACTGCAACTATATGTCTTGCCCAAGACACAAGAATATTAACCTGTTTGCCTGGTTTGGGCCCATGACTTAACAAATAATAAATCTCTTCTGTTAATTCACCAGATATAACTAACGTGGGGACATTTGATTTGCATCAGAATCACTGGTTTCCTGCAAGGCAAATTTGCTTGACACCTCACTTTTCGCTTTATGCAGCACTTGGCTTTATAATACATGTACCTCTCATTTAAGGTGTCACTTTATTTCCAATTTTATTATTTACTTCAAAACTGTCTCCTTAATTTTCAAGTACATCCTCTATTGCACACTTTACTCCAATTTCTCCATTAACTTCTTCACTTCAATTTTCACTCCAGGTGTCAACTTTGTGCGTAACTCCTTGCCTCACATTTAATCTCAAAACTGAACAGCCAGCTGCACCACTTACCTTGTACATTTTGATCAGTTCTTAATTATTAAGTTGTCTTATTGTCACTTTTTAATACTTAATGTTGCAATTCAAGTTTGTCACTTTTATCGTTCCTGTATATGCATATTTATTAATCCTCCTGAAAAATCTGTCACTTATCCTTGTTCATTCACCCACACAATGTGCTTGTATAGTGTATATTTTCTATAGAGTGTGACATTTTTAGATAACCTGTGCTTGATTATCAATTTGCCTTAATTTTAGTTAGTTACATGTGCTCATTGCTCTTTTATTATCAACATTACTTTGTGAAGTTTTAACACTAATCTTTCCTGTATAACTATTGGGGGTCATGGCTGAGGCAGCCTCCGATGGAAAGGAATTAAGGTACATGGACCTCCACCCGGATCCCACCTGGCATCCTAATGTGGTAACTGGCGCCAATTGCCCCCCCTCCCCCCCGGTCATCTAAACTGCTATGAAATTCAGATGTAAAATGTCTTAGCCCCTCGGGGCCGGGCAACTACCTACCGATACTCGACCGCACACAGGTTGCTGTAATGTGAAGCCTCCCCCAAACCCGCAAGGAAGGGGTCCCCTGATGTCCAATCCGCAATGCTGTCACTCATCAACCTAACGCGTCAACCCATTTGACTTGCAACCTGGAACATTCTAACCCTGAACACACCTGGCCACTCTTGGCTCTTCCCTGCCAAACTTTTCCATCTGGATATCTCCATCGCTGGACTTCAGGAAGTTATGTGGACTAGGGTGCGCAACAGGCCACGACCACCTGCATATTCAGGGAGTATGGCCATCCATCTCCGTCAAGTGGCGTCTATTATCACATGGAAACCTCTCGGCCCACATATGCTCTATGCCCGTCATAAACTACTCCCATGGTTATGTCTCCATCTTCTCGTGCTAGGCCCCTACGGACATCACCGAAGACGAAACCAAGGACACTTGCTACAAGCTCAGAAACATCTCCCGGCATGCTACTATTGTATTGGCCCAGATTGCTTTGGTTTTGGGCACATCATCTGACCACACCCCACTGTCGCCTCCACCACCAGCAACAAAAGCATCGCATGCTCGAGGTTTGCGCCAAGCACAACCTGAAGATCCTGGGCACCTGGTTCCAGCACCGGCAGATCCATCGACCACCTGGTACAGTAACACCGGCACTGCGACAATCGATCACATCCTGGTCAGCAGAACATGGAGGGTCACCTCCGATTATCGGGATTTTTCGCAGCGCTGGCTGGGCAACGTTGTCTCCTTGCTGCCCCCCCCCCTCATCTTCACCTCTGCACGAACACTCCTCCAGGCACCACCTCTTGACGTCCTCCCAATGTTGACAAGCTCCTCAACCCACTCTACGCCCACCGCTACTCAGCCGATGTCTCTAATCGCTTTGCTGCCCCAGAGTCTCGAGGATGACTGGGACCAGATTCACGCAACCCTTATCCAGTGGCATCAGAAGTGCTTGGAGTACACCCTCCTTTAATAGGAAGAAGCCTTGGATATCAGATGCTCCCACGGTCCTTGTAGACCGCTGCCGGCAAACCAGACATCATAGATCTATGGAAGTCTACTGCAAGCTGAGCAGGTAAAGAAGACGAAGACGAAGTTAACACAGCTGAAGATAGCTTTCAGTCGGGGAATCTTCGACCAGCTTATAAGTCCACCAAGGAGGTCTACCAGGCTGGCACTCTACACCAATTGTCCCCCTGCTCCCTGGCGATGGCACCCAGCTTTAATACAAAGCCTCAGCCAAGCTACAATGCTGCTGTCAACTCTACTCCATTGTCCTCTGCAAGCCTTCACCTCCATCTTACAGGCTGCAGATGTTTGCCAATTCAGGTATTGTGGATGACTCCATTTTGCTTGTACCACCCTCACTAAATGATATCGCAGACGCCATTAGGAAGCTCCCAACCGGTAGAGCCCCAGGCGCCAACAGCATTTCTGGCAAAATGCTAATGAAGGCGGCAATTGATCTGATCGATCCTCGGCTACAACAGCTGTGCTGCCATTTCTGGAAAGAAGAGTGAGTCATGGCCGAGTGGAAGGAAAGTCATACACTCATTCTACAAGAACAAGGAAGACCAGCAAAATACTTCGAGCTATCGTCTCATCACATTGCTCTCTGTGCTCTCTAAGGTTATCGTGACCATCATTCTCAGACGAATCCAACCTCTACTGCTAGCCAAAGTTTGCCAAACGTCGCCCTCAACAAGCCAGCTTCACGCCACAAATTGCTCCACCACAGACTGCATCCTAGGGCTGGGAGTCCTGGCACAATAATGGAGGTCATATTGCCAGCCGCTGTACACACAGTCTACATAGATCTTAAGGCAGCCTTTGATTCCCTGGATAGAAACGTCCTCTGGCTCTTTCTCCAGGGTATCAGAGTCCCTTTTAAGTACATCCGTTTCCTGCGGGACCTCTAAACCAACACTTTCTGCAGGGTGCAAGCTGAGGGTGGCATATCGGATCCCTTACCAACTACATGTGCATCAGGAGTCAGACAGGGCTGTGTTGCCGCACCAATCCTCTTCAATGTTGCGGTCGACTACTGCCTGGACAGCTTGATGGAACGCTGCCCCCAAAACTTGGCGTTGACTACCACTACCAACTCACCGACATATGCTATGCGGATGATGTTGTGCTGTTTGCCATGCTGCTGGACATCTTGGTTGAGGCTCTGGAGATTCTCGATGAGGAAGCCTCGCCCCTGGGTCTCACCATTAGCTGAATCAAGACAAAAGTTCAGTAGATCAATATCAACACCAAGCAGGTTGAAGTGGTTGCAGTGGAATCTGATTGCTCATCAGATTGCCGCCTTCAACTGGCCAGAAGAACCTTCGGTCATTTCACCCGTGTATGACGAAGCAGCAAAATCTGCACAACCACCAAAATTTGCATCCTGAACACCTACGTCCTCCCTGTTCTCCTCTACGGCTGCGAATCATGGTCCCCTCCACCACAACCAATCGCTGCCTTGATGCCTACCACCAGTCTTGCCTACGCTACATCCTTGGAACCTACTGGTGCCACCACATCACCAACGACGAGGTCTATGCTAGAGCGGGTGCCCCCACACCCCTGTCCACCACCACTCTGAGAAGCAGACTGTGACTACTGGGACATGTTGCGCGATCCGGCGACAGAGTCTCGGCAAAGCGTGTTCCGAGTGCAGCATCCCAGCCAGCCCCAGAGAGCTGGCGTCGCACCCCCCCCCCCCCCCCCCTGACGCCCCCACATCACCTGGGCATCTCAAGTCGCAGCGAGGTGCCCACTGGACGACCTCCTCACCCTAGCCCAAGATCAACTAGCCTACAGACATCTTGAAGTGGCCACGTGACTTCAAGTACATGTAAGTACATGTATAACTATTAATTCTCCTCATTGTATAATTTGTGCTCCACATTATTAATACATTACTCCTATATTTTGTTTGTTATACAACCATACATTGTGCTTGTATATTATTTTCTACAAAGCACATGTATGACCTTGCTGGAAACTTTTAAAAAGCACTGGGAAATAATTTATCTTAATAAGGTAAATTAAAAAGAAGTTTAAACTTTGTCTCCCTTTCTCCATTCATCTCAACTCACGTTACATTTTCGCAACGTGAGTAACCAATTTTGTGCGTCTTGTTTATCATACATAACACATTTTTCTGGATGTCATCTTTGGTGCTTAGGTAGGTTTAGGTCTAATCTATCTAACATGGGGATAACAGTTATTAAACCTTTTCAGTAAGGTAATTACAGCCCAAGGAAACTCAAAAAGTACATCAAAAATGTAACGTGAGTGACCGTGGAATTGCCCCTCATAAATTAATAACTTTTTGGAAAATATCAATTGAAAAAAAAAATCTATTTTTCGGGTTAAAACTTCAAAAATCACGGAGAAGATCTTTAAATAAGGTGAAAGTAAAAAAAAATTTAAAGTGCTTCAAACTTTGTCTCCCCTTTTCCATCATCCCAACATTCACTTCAGCTCTTGAGTCAGCTTTCATAACTCGGCCATAACATTGAGAAACAAGTAGCACGCCAAGGTCTTCAGTTTTCACCTCTGAGAAGATGATGGTATCCGTTGCTTCCGACATTCACCAAAAGGTATGAGAGACGCTCACGAGATTTGAACAGTTATTTAGGCCAGAACAAATTGTGCTCCAATAAAAATATTGGGTGTTGGTCCATCAACTTTAACAATTAGTAAATTATTGCAGTTGGGTTCAGCCATTGTATGTGGTCATTGATGTAATTTTTGGTATTCATTCATTTGTTCTTGGTGAGACATAAATGCAACTATATGTATGTGTCTTGCCCAAGGAAACAAGCATATTTACTTTGGTTTCCACCTAAGAGTTTGGCAAATGACGAAGCTCTCTTGTTAATTACCAGATAACTATGGCAGCATCATAGGGCGAGCAGTCTGGGCCATAGCGTTTGAGAAACATCTGACACACTGAGATCTTCATCTTTGACCTTTCACCTCTGAGAAGACAACAGCACCTTTCGCTTCCAACGTTCACCAGGTATGAGAGACACTCAATGATGGATCAAGAAATTTAAGCTTTTGGTGAACTTGTGACGCTCCAAGCAAAAAATTGTGGCGGTTTCTTTGCAAAGTCCTCCAAATGATTATCCTTAACACTACTGTCACTTGTTGAAATGATTTTATTTCTTGCTACTCATTACTTATTATTTATTTTCATTTTTGTCTCTGGATTGTTTCATGTTTCCTTCTTTGACGCTTCAGGTGTGTGGGGTTGCTGATGAGAAGCAACATGCACTTCTCCCTCTCTACCTGATTATCTTTTTTAATAATAAAAACTATGGAAACGTGCATTCTAAACCTTGTTATTACTTGGGTCAATATTGGTCAAGTGACCCATTGGTTTGTTAAGAGTATGCCAGGGGAAGAGGAAGGAAATGTTCACCCTCTGTGACCTTTTTAAGCAGCAGGAGGTTTAATAATAGTGATTGCAGCTTCGATCAAGCCATTATCTGTGGTTTCGTTTTGATAAATTACAATTGTGACTACATATATGTCTTGCTCAAAGACTCAGGAACATGCATGTATTGGCCTGTTTACATGGTTTGCACCCATGACTTCCATGAATAATGGGGTGCTGTGGTCCAATGGTTACGGTGTTCGACTCGTGTACCGTGGTACATGGGTTCGAATCCTGACCATGGGAACATGGTGCTTGTGCTCTTGAGCAAGGCACTTTACCATTATTGCTTCGTCCTTCGGATGGGACGTAAAGCTGTAGGTCCCGTGTGTTGTGTAATGCACGTTAAAGAACCCAGTAACACTTATCGCTAAGAGAAGGGGTTTGCCCCGGTGTTTCTGGCAGTGGCTGCTTAATGCGCCGCAGCACCTTGTATACCATTAAGGTGCTACATAATGGTTCTCATATTTCTCATGTACTTCATTTACCTGTCTCTAATAATAGACATAATTTCTAGCGCCTTGAGTACCTAATTGTTGGTAGATATGTGCGCTATATAAGACTTCGGTATTATTATTATTTATTATTATTATAATGAATCTCTTCTGTTAATTCACCAGATATAACCATCCCAGGGAGTCGCATTTGATTTGCATCAGAATCACCGGTTTCCTGCACGATGAGCAACAGTTATTGGGAGGACACGGGTGTGTTCTTTACCTATTGGATACAAACCGTAAGTTAAAACATGAATTATAAGTATAGTAAATAAAGGATTAAAGCAGAGTGATGTTGAGGACCTAAAGAAATACCAGTAAAGCTCAAGTAATTGTACATAGGTTTTGATATTTTTAAGGCGAGCATCAGACTAACTTTATTCACCACACTTTTCTCTTCACACAGCTCTTTTCTTTGTTATTTCTCATTTAGGTTGAACTTCTAATTTGAATTTTTACTTCACATTTCTCCGATGCTCAAGTAATTTGTGTACATTAAACTCTGTCACTATATGCTTCAATTCACCTCATTTCTCCATTAATTGACTTCTTCACTTCAATATTCACTTCAGGTGTCACCTTTGTGTAACCATGCACTTGCCTCACATTTAAGCTCACAACTGAACAGCCAGCTGAACATCACTCACCTTGTACGGAGTTGCACCATTTTTTAATAATGAGATCTTATTATTGCAAATTTGTCTTAATTTCATTATTAACCTTTAATATTATTAGCATTGCATTTTCAATATTTTAACATTTATCACTTCTGTATAACTGTTAACCCTCCTATGTACAAAAAAATGTAGTTTAATTGTGCTCAACATTAATAATATATTACTAACAGCTTTTCCTTGTTTAATCATGCATACACAACACACAGTGGCATTTTATTTTTACATATTATCATTACCAATTTGCCTTAATTTTTAGTTAATAACGTGTAGCATTCTTTAATTATCAACATTACTTTTTAAGTTTTTAACATTTATCTTTCCTGTATAATTATTATTCTTCATGACTGTTCAAATTGTGCTCAACGTTAATACATTACATAGCGTTTCCTTGTTATACAACCAAGCAGTGTGCCTTTTCAGAGTGTATTGTTTTCTACAGATCATATGAACTTGATCATCCACAGGATTGTTAACCCATACATTCCAAGTCTTATTTGTCGTTTGACATTGAAAGTTTCTCAGAACAGCAGAATTAACTAGATCGTTATTCAATGGGTTATTTTGATAACGTGGCCCTCAAAATTAGGGTAGGTAGGTAGGGAATTTTTTTTTAACGATCATCTAGAGGCGTCTGCGAGTATTGTCATGGGTAAAAGGTAAAAATCGATGGTTTGTGTGTTTTTTTCCTCATTTTTCATATAAAAATAAGGGTAGGGGCTGTCAGAATAGGGTAGGGAAACTAATTTTTCGGCCATAACTCTTTCCCTTTCACTTCATTTTCACCATGCACACCCACATCACTGACTTCCACATTGGCCTCACCTAATATGCAACATAATTAGGTCTCACCTAACTTTTGTCACTGCAGTAAAAACGTAATTCACATTTTACATCATAATTCACCTTACAATTTTCCTTCATACCCTACTTCATATTCCCTTTACCATTCACCTCACCACAGACCACTCTCTCAAGGGTGATGTGCTGGTTGCACTTTATGATATACTTAAATTTTGTCCCACTTCAGCTGTCACTTCATCACCTCGCAAATAAACCTCACACCAGTACATTGGGCTCACAATTGACCACTGAGTCAACACTCGCTTGTTATCACTCAGTCTTCATCTCCTCACCAATCAACCTCACTATTCAGCTCACCACTGACCACTGAGTCAACACTCACTCGACCATCACTCATATCACTTAGTCTTCATTACCTCACCAATCAACCTCACCGCAGCTGACCACTGAGTCAACACTCAATTGACCATCACTCATATCGCTTAGTCTTCATCACTCAGTCTTCATCACCTCACCAATCAACTTCACCACAACTCGATCACCACTGACCACTGAGTCATCACTAACTCACCACTCATATTACTTAGTCTTCATCACCTCACCAATCAACCTCACCGCAGCTGACCACTGAGTCAACACTCAATTGACCATCACTCATATCGCTTAGTCTTCATCACTCAGTCTTCATCACCTCACCAATCAACTTCACCACAGCTCACCACTGACCACTGAGTCATCACTCACTCATCACTCATATCGCTTAGTCGTCATCACCGCACCAATCAACCTCACCACAGCTCACCTCTTGCCACCAAGTCAACACTCACTCAACCATCACCCATATTGCTTAGTCTTCATCACCTCACCAATCAACCTCTTCACAGCTCACCACTAACCACTGAGTCAACACTCACTCAGCTCTCCATTCAGCTCACCATGCACTGACCACTGAGTCGTTTCTATTCACACAACTCGGTCTTCATCACCTCACCAATCAAATATACCATTCACCTCGCCACTGACCACTGAGTCATCTCTCACTTGTCACTACTCAGTCTGAATCACATTCTTTACCAATCAAACTCCACCGTGCAGCTCACCACTGACCACTGAGTCATCACCAACTCATCCCTCAGTCTTATAGAACGTCTTCAAAACAAATCTGCTGAAAACATTTCAATTTGCAATTTTAAACTACTTTGTCTACTTCACTCAACTTACCTTTAGGGCAACCTACTTATCTCCCTAGACCGGCAGGCATTTATGCTAAGAGTTTATACAATAGCACCCTCTGGTGTTCTACCCATAGGCCAGACATTATGGATGCAGAGTGGGGAACCCTGGACTGCCCGGCTCTATTATATCCCGTGCCGAGGGAACGCTCTCGTCATTGCATTTTATCCATAGTTCAGGGTCCCGGTGCCCTCAGCATCATCCGAAATTTCAACGGATGTATCCGAAGGTCGTTCTAGAAAAAAAGGGTAAGAAGAATAAGGTGGGTCGACGATCGCGCTTGTTGTTCTTCAAGCTCGGAGGACTCGTCAGACCGATCCCATCGGGGCAAACACTGTTGGGGTGAGGACTCACTCTCCTGAGAAATGAAGTTAACTGGAGTTATGCAAGCCTTTCAATCAAGTTCAGCTTCATTATCGGTCATATCTACTAACCACCAGCAGGGCATCTTTGATAGACCGTCTGAAGTGGTGAGCCACGCTCCGATGCCCTCAGTCACTGGGCACGGTTGGGTGGCTCAGTGACATAGGGACATACCTCACACATGGTTAGCCGTGATCCCGAGTCCCCATCTGCATTGAGCTTATTACGTCCGTCTATGTCTATTGTCTCTGGATGTTGCCCAGCCACAGTCCCGTGGCCCACGGCAGCCTGCCCCTCCAAGCATGTCAAACTGCTCTCGTTCGCTGATGTCAACTCAACCCTCGCATTCCAATGGTTCATCTGAGGACGTTGAGGTGGTGATCAACATGAAGCGGGTGTCCATTGCTTAAAAAGGAACTCTGTTTGGTGCAAAGGGACTCGATTTGGGTGTTACAGCTATCGCTGCTGATTACCCCCCCCCCCCCAGCCTGAACATTCATCATTCAAGCTCAGGATGGGTTGAAAAACAAGAAGTTGTTCCCGATCCTTCCCTTAGATCAGGTGTGTTTGGATCGCATTCACAATGTTATGTCTCGTGACCAATGACAACCATTCCCCAGATTGGAATATGCCTTATTTTGTTTCTCCAGGGATTTTGATTTTTTTTTTACCACACCTCCCCTCTCCGAGGCAGCCAAAGACAAGCTGTTGGCAGATGAAGGGACAATAGCATCTGAAAGGATTTTCAGATACGACCTGGGGCAAGCTTGATCAGGACCCTCTAAAAAAGTGGACTCTGCCTCCCGCCATGGCATGCGCTCGGCCTCCTCCTTCTTTTCCTCACCGAGTATTAGGCTTTCGGTTGTGAGGATGACACTGCAGTTCAGGTGAACATGTTGATGCTGCTTTACCCTGCCTAGACCACAGTCTTCAGTCGTCGCTCCATCAATTTACACGAGTGTGGACCTGGGCAACCTCAACCCTGGGTGCTGGCTAAATTACTTGACCGACTCATGACAGCCTGGGGTCGTGGGCTTTAATTACATCCGACCGGTGGGTGCTCAATTTAATCAGTTGCAGTTAATGCTCTAGAACCTCCCCCCCCCCCCCTGTCGAACATGCCCGTTCGGCTGACTCCAATCCAGTCAGACCCAACAAGGCACTGCACTGTGGAGATCAACTCCCTTCTTGAGAAACTGACATATTGCGCCTACTCAACTTTGGGGGGAAGGGATCTGACTAATTGTCGACTTTCTACTTGGTGCCCAAGAAGGAGACCGGCATATGGTGCCCCATCCTGAACTTATGAACAGATGTATTCGTCCAAAGCACTTCTGTATGGACACTCGAGATTATCCTCAAGTCAATCTACACCCAAGCATGGGGGGCCAAGCCTAGACCTGGATGACGCATTCCTATCACTACATACGTCCCTATCAGGCAGCAGCTTTTGGCATTCCAACATTTGGCCTTCCTTCGGTTCCAATAAAACAATATCCACTATGAATGCATGGTGCTCCCATTTGACCTTTCCACCTTGCCCTAAGTCTTTACACAAATAGTGAAGACAATCGGGGCCAAGTTGCGAAAGTGCCCCAGTGCTGATCTTCATATACCTTGACAACTGCATCATCGTGGATCTAGCTCGGGAATCCAAGGTTGCTGTGCTCAACCTTACATGGCACCTCACGTCGGACCTTGGATTTATCATCAACACAGAGAAGACCCACCCACTTCTGCCAGTCCCCAGTTTTCCTGGGAGCGTCACACGACCTCCGGAAGGAACTGGCCCGCCCCACAATGGAACGCATCTCGAACCTTAGACAGTGCATGTCCTTGTAACTTCCGGCAACTATGGCCCAGCATAAGTCTGGCAACTGTGACTCCAGCCCAAGCCTGCCTGGACAGGTTGCTTGACCTCGCGGCCAGCATCATTGACGTCGTAGATTTTTACTGTCCTCCTACCGGCCCAGCCAGCACCACATACCCTGGCTGATACCACACCTCCGGTGGTGGCTCAACATTGCCAACCTCAAGAGACTTGTGCCTTTCGCAGACCCCATCCATCACTGTTCTGACTGTCTTGACAGACGCGTCACTTTTTGGCTGGGGGGCCACCCTCCACCCGTGCCAAGTCGATGGGGACCTGAACACCACTCAAGTCACATAAACATACTCGATATTGGCAGTCTCTAAGTATATCTACGTTTTCAGTTATCAGTGACGGGCCTGGGCGGTCATGGTTCGATGTGCCAATGCCACAGTAGTGGCTTACATCAACCACCAAGGGGGCACACAGTCGGCCCAACTGTGTGCGCTCACATGAACTCCTCCATGCGCGACAATGTTGCGCTTTCAGCAATCCAAGGAGAAGGAGCAACGAGAACGTCACTGCTGACGGCCTATGCAGTGGGCTACCGGATCCTCTCAACAGAGTGGACGCTGAATACACACCCGCAGATCGCTCAGTCACTCTGCTGATCGGCCGACCACGTTGATCTGCTTGCTGTGCTGAACAATTACCACCAGTCTACAGCACGAGGATCACCGACCCCCGAGCGTGGCAGACAGATGCACTGGTGATAAGGTGGGATGG